CCTTGAAATAGGACTCCTTCTCCTTCCCAGCAAGCACCAGCACCTGGAGGATGGCCCTGAGGAGGGCCAGCGGGGGTCCCCAGGGGCTGAAGGAGGAGCAGCTCCTCCCTCCCCCACTTTCTCTTCCTCGGAGGGGCCCCTTCCACTGTCCTCACTGGGGAGGGAGGAGTGTCCAGGTGACCACATCGCCTGCTGCTCTGCGTGGCCAGCAGACCCAGAAGCCGATGGCCTCTCAAGGCCAGTGCCAGTCTCTAACAAATCTGCCCCTGAAGGCTGGTGCCTGCTCTGGCCAGGCAGACGGCACTGGCCAGCAGGGTGTGGAAAAGAAGGTAGTTCCACTCTGATGATGTTTTCTGCCAACAGGCACAGAGTACAAGTCTGCACGAAGGGAGTTAACCTCTAATAGGGCTGAGCAGCACCCTTTGCCACCCGCCATCCTGGGGAGTGACCCGCGGGGCACAGCCCTTCATAGGCAGGCCTGTCACAGGTGCACACAGCAGCTGAGGGGCCTGTGTCACTCTGCCCCCAGGTGGCCCATGGCCTCTTTCATCCATACCACTTCACTCCCCAGCACGAAGCCTCTTCTTCACCAGGACCCCACACAACAGCCTTCTTGCAGCCTGTGCTGGGGACCAGGACCACTGACACCACACACAGTCATCCAATGTTCCTTACTTCCGCTCACCCTCTACTGTCAAGCCCTGCCGTAACCCCACTCTGAACTCAGCCCAAACTCTTTAACTTCCGCCCAGCCCTGCCTTTCCCCTAGGATGACAGTGGGCAAGTGGTTCTCTCTTTCTGTCCTCAGGTGTTCCCCCATCCGTCAGCCCAGTGAGAAATACCAAGTTCCTGCTCTACGGATCTGAGAACGCAGGGCTGGGCACCAGAGAGCACAGTCGTTACCACCAACCTCAGGACTGCACCTATTGTTCCCTCTACCCGTGGGCACCTGAGCATCCCCGAACAGAACTGATCTCCCCTCCACAGCCTCACCTGCATCTGCCTGACCCACTCAAAGGTGGGCACTGTCTGGCCTGTGTCCTCCCCACTCCTGTGCCTGGCATTCAGGAAGGGGCACCTCTGAATGCCAGCAGGATACAAGTGGGCACATCTCATGCTGGGTAGGTCTGCCTTGTGCTCCCACACCAGGTGCGCCCTCCAGAGGCCCGAGGCTAAGGGATGCACACCTCCTCCACGGGGAGCCTTCATCTTCCCCAGCCACTTGCCCTTGTGGATGCTGTGCTGCCCGCACTCACCCTGTTCAAGTGGCTAGGCAGCTGAAGCCACCAGATCTGAAGCCCATCCTCAAACAGGTGCAGCCTGCATCACAGCACCCCTCTGCCCCTGCCCCCAGCCAGAGGTGTCTGCCACACAGACCAGCTCTGCAAGAAATCCAAATACCAAAATGTTAAATTACCCTCTCCCTGAGGTCCAAGCTGTGGGGCTGAGGAAAATGAAGGCTGGCCCTGTCTCTTCTGGCCACGCCTTCCTTCCTTGGAACCAGCCTCTGGTCTCCAGCCCAACCTTCAACCTTCACCCTGAGCGGTCTTTGCCTCTGCTGTTTCTGCCCTCTCTCAGAACTATGCCTTGTGAAATGCCCCTGGCAACCCTCTGTGCAGAGCCTTGGCTTTGGCCTTGGGTGTTATCATTGGCTCTGCCCTGGGCAGCAACTTGGCCTAAGTCCTGGGGTCTCCTGGGACTTGGAGCTGTTGCACAACCCAGTCAGCTCAAGGACCACAGCCATTTCCTCAGCTGAAATGGAGCAGGTCAACCTTGCCTGCGCAGCTAGCTGTAGGGCCAGGCACACAAAGGCTCCCTGCTGGTGTAGGCCCCTGAGAGCACCCAGAGGGAGCACCTGGTAAGGGGCTGTGTGTCTTGGGACCATGACAAGTGGGTGCTGCCTGGCCACACTGCTTTCCCTGGAGGCCCATGCCAGTGCTTGGCATGTGGCATCTTTTGTCAGTCAAGCCTCATCACTGTGCTAATAATTTCACCCAAACAGGAGCTCAGGCCCTTCTGGGAATGACTGGTGGTCGTTCTGTGGCACTGGGGATTGAACCCGAGGCCTTCCCACTGAGCTACATCCTCTGGCCTTTTAGAAAATTATTTTTTACATTTTGAGATGTGCCCAGACGGGGATCCCAACTTTTGATTCTCTTGCCTCAGCCCCTCAGTGATGAGATGACAGGCCCGTATCAGCAACTGGTCTACTTCCCTTTTGGGAAGCAGCTGTTTACAAAACAAGCCATGAGGAAGTTACAGATCTGAAGAAAGACCCTGTCATCTTCATCCCCTTTCTAGTTCCCCTTGGGGCCCCACTGCGTTAGGTCTCGGGAGGCGCTGCTCATTCTAGGAAGAGGGCAGTACAGCAGGTAGGGGCGGTGGAGACCGGGCGCACTCCATGCAGGGCGCCAGTCTCGGGACGCCGCGGGGAAAGGGGCGCAGCTAGGGACGCGGGATGGCGTGCCAAGGAGCTGCGGGTCACATGGCCCGCGGGGGTGCACACGGGTTCCGGAAGCCAAAAAACGACCCCCACCTGTGGGTCGCTCCGCAAGTTGCAGGGTGGAAACCCAGTGGGGAGCCACGCTCCTCCGGCGCCGACGTGGGGGCTCTAGGCACGTCAAGGGCGCAGCCCCGAGATCGTGGCCCGTGCAGAGCACCGTGAGATACACGATGCGGCAAAGAGTGCGAGCGCCGTGTAGAACCGCAGCCGCGCCTCCCCCAATCCCTCGGCTTCCAGGCCTGAGTGGGACCGGCCGGGCTGCGCCTAGGGGTCGGACCGTGAAGCTTCACGTGCGCGACGCCAGTGCGCATGCGTCGAAGCCGCGCCTGCGCAGTCGCGGCACGGGGGGGGGTGCAGAGCTGCTCGGCGGCGCCGGCGCCGGCGCCGGTCCGGGTGACCATGGGGCCGCGGGCGGCGGGAACGCTGGGGCCCAGGTAGCGGCGGGCCGCGGGCTCGGCCCGGCATGTGGACGCCCCAGTGTGGCGGTGAGTGCGCGGCCTAGGGGTCCGCGGCCCTGCCCACCTGCGGGGACGCCACCGCTGTCCCCAGAGTGGGCCGGGCAGGACCGGGCGCGGTGGGCCGGGGCCGAGGACGGCGCAGGGCTGGGGCCGGGGCTGGAGCGAGTCGGCTGAGGGCGGGGCGGGGGCGGCGGCCCGGAGTCTGTCGGGGGCCCGAGTCGCCGGGGCTCAGGCGCGGGCTCGCTCTCGGCAGGGAACCCAGTGCCGGGCCCGGATAGGGCGGCGTGGACACAGTGGCCCCGGTTGGAGACCTGGAGCCTGAGAGCCCCGCTTCCTCCGTGGTTTACGCAGAAGGGGCCCGGGGCCCGAGGGCAGGTGGCAGGTGCAGCACTCTCTCCGAGGGCCCCCCCTCAGCTCCTGCGTGGCACCTGCTGGGCTTAGCCACTAGAGCCGGGTCTTCAGGCCCTGCTGCTGGGCCCGGGCGGGACCAGGCCGGGTCTGGACTGCGCGGGATCTCCCAGCCGCGGGAGCCGCGTGCCCCTTCATCCCGGAGCAGTGGAGCAGCTTTTGGCTTGAATTCTCCCTGACTAGTTACTTTTCCCTTGTTTTGCAACCCCACACTGTTTTAGTTCAGAACGTATTTATTCTTCCTGGCTCTTGAGGGAACGCTTTTCAAAACTTACCCATTTGGTTTGCCTGTCACTGCTGGCCTGGGACTGACAGGCTTGCCTTAGGAAGTTAAGTTACTTATTTTCACATCAGGCTAGGTGACACAGGAAGGGCCCTGCTTTCCCTGCCCCTTGCCTTCGTCAGCCTCTGGGGACTCTGTGCTCCCAGACTTCTGTGAGGGACCTGTCTTCAGCGGCTTGAGGCCACCGCCTGCATTAGTCAGGTTTCCCTTGTGGTTACCAGACAATGCCTGACACCCACACCCTCAGTGGGAGCAGGGGAGGTTTTTTGGCTTGAGAGCCCAGTCCTTGCTGGCTCTGAGGCAAGAACACGGAGGTGGAGGCGGAAGGGCAGTGGAGCAGGGGACAGAGAGCCCCAAGGCCACACCCGAGCTCTCTCTGCGTTCTCCAGAAGCTTCCCCAGCCCCACATCCCACCCGTATCCAGGCTGTGGGGGCATCAGCAGGGGCAACCCTTGTGTCACACAGTAACTTCTTTTGGGGCGGCCCTTGAACGGTTCTGTTTTTCTTCAGCCCTTCTGTGCGTTTATGTTGCTAAAAACAATCAGCAGTGCTGCTGTGCAGGCTTGGGTCTGCCGCAGGCAGTGAGCTACATCCCAACCCTTTACCTTTGGTCTTCTTATTTGGAGACAGAGTCTCCTTCAATTACTCAGACTGGCTTTGAAATTGCAATCCTACTGTTTAAGCCTCCTAAGTAGCTGAGTGACAGCCTAGCCGTGCACCACTGCGCTGGTCTCTCATTTAGTTCCTGTGGAGACAATTGCAGTAAGCCCTCAGGTTTTTCCTTCATAAGTGCTCACCAGGTGGCCTCCCAGGCAGCCTGAGACACAAGCTGGAGCACGGAATGTAGCACCTGCCCCAGCACCTGTGAAGAGGGGGTGATGCTCAAAATGAGCTTGTGATGAATGACACAGAATGAGGCGCTGAGTTTAGTTCCCTTGGAAAATGAGGAACAGGTGGTTTCCAAGGTAGTGAGAGCTTGCCTGCATGGAGGCACCACAGGAAGGGGACCTCGCCCAGTTTCAGGAGGGGATGATGGGGCAAAGGGCAGGATGGGAGGCTGTGGTCCTTCCACATCTGTCATCAGTCACCATGTGGCTCCTCCTTCCTAGACAAGGAGTTGCTTTGTCACCCAGGATCCTGTGTCTTAGTTTGTGCTGGTGAGGGGACCCAGCCTCATCACCCAGTGCATGGGGACCTGATGTCCTCTGCTGGGAGGCCAAGTGGTATTTGGAGACACTGCCTTCAAATCTGTGTCTCCAGCCAGGCTGCACAGAACATTTCATAAGCCTCTCTGGGTTGCCATGCTGTTGTGTGGCTGAGGAGGTAAGCTGGGCATTCAGTAGGCACCAAGTATGTTACAGTCCAGGCGACTGAGGAAGTTGGTCCTTTCCCCATTCTGTCACTAAATTGTATTTCCATTGACTTTTTCAAGTATTTATTAAGAGCATGCATGGGAACTCATATGTATTGTGTTTACATTTCTCTAGCTTTTGTTCAGATCTGTTGTAGACGTATTTATTGACATGATGCCATTTTTCCTCTGTGTTTTGTATGAGTTTGTTTTGGTTTTGGTTTTTTGAGTCAAAGTTTCTCTGTGTAGTTCAGGCTTATGTTGAACTCATTACGTAGCCCAGGTTGGCCTTAAACTCACAGCAATCCTCCTGCCTCAGCCTTCCAAGTGCTGGAATTGTCAGTGGATGCCACCTTGCCCAGCTTGTATGAATTTTTCGTTATTTTGTTTTGTTCCCCAGTTTTGTTTCTCAGTACTTGGGACTGAACTTGGTGCTCAACCATTGAGCTATATCCATCGTCCTTTTTATTCTTCCATAAAATGTTCTGGCCTAGCCAGGCCTGGTCGCACACACCTATAATTCCAGCACTCGGGAGGCTAAGGTAGGAGGGTGGTTGTGGGTTGCAAAGTGAGCTCAAGGCCAACCTGAAATGCAGAGTAAGACCGTGTCTCAGAAAGCTAAAAATCAAATAAAATGTTCTGGCCTCAAACTTGCAATTCTCCTGCCTCAGATCCTGAGTAGCTGGGATTACAGATGTGTATCAGCACAACCTGCATATGTGAGTTCTTCATAAAACTTCGTAACTATGCTGCAGTGCTTTTTCCTGGAAGAGTTCCATAATGCAAAAAGCCTTTTGTACAATAAGTTTGTGTTCTAGGAAATTTGAATGCACTTAGATGGAATTAAAATTGTATCCTTGTAAAATGGCTAGCAGCCAGGCATGGTGGCACATGAGGCAGGAGGATCCTTGCAGGTTTGAGACCTGTCTGGCCTACAAAGTAAGCTAAACACCAGCCTGAACTGCATAGTGAGACCTTGTCTCGGAACAAAAGAAGAAAAAAAGTAAAATGGTTAGCATTGCTTAGGCTGGGGATGTAGCTCAGTGGTGAGTGCTCACCCAGCATGCTTGAGACCCCCTGGGGGGAGTCCAGCGCTAGCACCCAAAGGGAAAAAAGTTAACACACTCAATGAGTTAAATGTGAATTTTGATTCGCAGTTGTCAGAAATACACTGTGGAGATAGCTTAGGTAGGCTGATTTTAATGTTTGGTATGGCAATTTTATGAATTAGCTCACTGCTTCAGCATTAACTTAGTCTTTGCAGGTGAACATTATCCGAGCCCTTAGGTTATAAACCAGTAGTGACACAGCTGAGCAGCCAGGCAGTGCTGGGTTTTGCTCTCATCCTGGCACTGGGTCACATGCTGTGGACCAGTCACAGCTCTGCGAGGCTGTCCTTTAGTCACTTATGCAACAAAGTCCCTGAAAGCCCGGAGAACAGGGTTCAGAGGTTGAGTGCACAGAGGTGCCTCAGAGGAGGCAACAGCCCCACATCCCCTCTGTTCCTGGCATGTGTACCTCTCCATCTCTGCGTGTGTAAGATCCTATGTAATGAGGTGGCAAACACACTTCCCTGAGTTCTGGGGGCCCTCCACTGGCTGAACCCAGTGATGGGATATGGCTTATGGCCTACTGGTTAGAAAGAAGCTCATGGCAAAGCTGGGGGTAGTGGTGATTCACATCTGTAATCTCAGCCCCCTAGGAAGCTGAGCCAGGAAGCTTTCAAGTGTGAGCCTAGTTTACTCAGTGTAGCAACTTCATGAGACCCTGTCTCAAGGGGAAAAAAGAAAAAGAATCACAGGCTACACACTGGGCTGCAACTGCATCTAGTGTCTGTAGCCCTCCCGAGGTCTGACATGACCTCAGGGTGTGTCAGAACTGAACTGAGGCAGGGGCTCCAAGGAGCTTGTGTGGGGGTAGACTCCCACAGCTGAGATCAACCTCTACGTTGTGAGTGTATAGCAAGAGAAACTGAGCCTGAGGAGGAGCTGGTTTCCTGCTGTGATGTCACTGTAAATGGATTAGGAAACATCTGGTGGATTGGTGGAGCACAGTGGGTGTGTCTGTACGTGACTGACACGTGGGCTGTGAACTGAGGCGGACGGACCCTTCCCAAGTGTTGGTGGTACCAACCAATAGGCTTTCGACTGAATGGGATAAAAAGGGAAAGAAGGAAGTCTGGGCTACGTTCCTTTGGAGGAGCTCCAGTTTCCACCATCATCTTGGGACGTCCACCTGCAGTTCCTTTAGGCTTCCAGTGCGGACTCTTGTGCTTTCCAGCAGGGACTCACACCAGATTGCAGTGAGCATCGGTCCTCTGACCTCCAACTGGGTCCTCAGCTCTCCAACATGCACACAGTCCTGACTCAGCAGCCACTGTGAGCATATTTATTGTAAGTATCTATATGTATGTGCATATATTTCATATTAAATGTCTTCTCCTAGTGGACTCTTAACTGATACACATTAATCCCAGAGAAGTGGGATTGCTGCCGTGGTGCTGCCTGATTCAGAACCCTTTGGAATGGTTTGCAGGAAGAATGTGGAAAGGTGTGGAGATCCCAGCTGTGGAAAATGCTGTGAACAGAATTTGACAGGAGAGTCTGGTCAGAGCTCTAAAGACATAGATGCTAACAGTAACGGCCAGTGAAGAGCAGCCTCAGGCGGCCGCTGGGTATGGGTCTGTCATCCCAGCACTCAGAAGTCCAGGCAGGACTGCTGTAAGCTTAAGGCCGGCCTGGGTTACACAGTAAATTTGAGGCCAGCCTGAAAAACATAGTAAGACCTACCTAAAACCAAAACTCATAGCAGCAGCTGGGCTCAGGAGATGTCAAATGGAAACAACAGCTCCACTAGCCGTTGGATTCCAGACCCTGCCTGTTACGTGTTGGCAAAAATTTGTCTACATTTTGCTCATGTCCTGAGACTTTGCAGGAGACTTGAGATTAAGGACGGTGGGCTAATTGATCTAATGGAGGAAATCTCATGATAACCTACTGCTGAGGCTGTGGTATGGTATTATTGGTAGATTTTAGCCAAAAATATGTTGAAAATTGAGCAAAGAGTGCTTGAGAGGCTGAAGCAGGAGGATTGTTGCAAGTTCAAGACCAGCCTGGGCTACAAAGTGAACTCAAGGCCAGCCAAGGCTGCATAGTGAGTTTAAACCCAGTTTGGACTATATAGTGAGACCCTGTCTCAAAAAAAAAAAAAAAAAAAAAAAATCTGGACTATATGATGGGTTCAAGACCAACCTGAGCTACACAGTGAGATTCTTTCTCAAAAACAACAAAAAAAGCCACCAAATATCTTACAACAGGACAATAGAAAAGTGGCTTGAAGACATCATAGGAAGCAGCAATACTTCACCCAAATTTCAAAGGCTCAAAGTTGCAAACATGACTTTGCTTTAAGAAGAAAGCTCCAGCTTGGAGTTTGTGACCCACACCTATAACCCCAGCATTCACCTGTAACCCCAGCATTTGGGAGGCTGAGGCAGGAGGTTTGCTACAAGTTGAAGGCCAGCATGAACTACATAGTGAAACCCCATCTCCAAAACAAAGCAAAGAAGAAGAAAGCTCCTGGGCACCTTGCTGGAACAGAATGCCAGCCCGGGGCATTGATTCCTAGGGATTTAGTTCACAGAGCTCAGCCCTCCAGGTACCTAGAGGCCCCTGCAACCATGGTGTGTAAGGGTCTGGCCACTGCTGGTGCTGGTGGGAGACCCTGGTGCCATCCACATGGTGTTGGTTTTATGCCTGCCCCAAGGTTTCACAAGGCCTAGGGAGCCAGGCAGGGTGCCCCTGAGAAGGCCATGTGCAAAGCTGTGAGTGTAAAGCCAAAAGTGTGGTGGAGACCCCAGGAACTTGGATCATCCGAGGAAAGCCTCAAAGAGTGAGCAAAGCCAGCCCAAGAGAGATGCCGCAAGGGCTGCAGCCGCATGCAGCGCCATAGGGACAGGCTGCCCGATCCCTCGGGCTCACCTCTCACTGCTTGCCTTGCCTGCGGTTCATGGGACCATGGGATTTAATGTCTGCTCTGCTGGGCTTTGATCTTGCTTGGGTCCATTGATTCCTCCCAACCTGTTCCTCCATTTGGAGTGGGAATGTGGGTCCATTGTCTGTCACCAGTTTAGCTTTTCTAAAATATTTACAGGGGCTCACAGCCAAGAATTTGCCTGAAGCCTCATGAGGTTTTGGACTTTTGGACTATGCTGGACTTTGGTGACTTGTTGAGATGAATTAAGTTCACTTTGCATAAAGAGGTGTGCATGAGTCTTTTGGGGCCAGGGCCAGAATGTTATGATGTATACTTAGGTGTCCCCCAGAGCCTCGTGTGATTACAGTGTTGCTTGTGGAAGGTGGCTGAATTATAGCTGGCTCCGTGGTAAAAGGAGTGGCCTGCTCTCTGGAGGTGAGGCCTAGAAAGTTGCAGCTCTGCTCCCAACCCCTCTTCATGCTCTGCTACTGGGTCACAGGTCACCCGGTAGGACTCCTTGGGAACCCTTCCACTCTGTCGTCCTGCCATGGAGCAGGCCAGCTCTGTATGAAAACCGTGTGTAAGATAAGCCTCTCCTTTAGTTGTGTGTTTAGTCGCAGCGATGTGCAAAGGATGTGTGTGAACAGTTTCTCCTGTCAGGGTGGTGGGGCTCACCTGTGATCCTAGCACTTGGGAGACTCAGGCAGGAGGAATACAAGTGTAAGATTTTGTTCTTTCCATTTTTTTGTTGTTTTTAAAGTTCTGTTAGATCCTTTATGTTTCTACATGAGCCTTAGTATCTGCTTGTCCATCCATGTGGGAAGCTGCTTGGATTCTGTTGGTTCGGGTGGAATCTGGTGGGGTTCGAGAACTAAGGTCCAGTCCCCAGTGAGCAGTGGTCTCCGTCCCTGCCATCTCCCTTCTGGTCCTACAGGTCTGGCTGCTTTCCTCAGATGCTCACTGCATGCTTTCATGGCTGCCTTGAGCACTGCTGCAGTCTCAGTTTTCTGCTGTCTGCTTGCTGCTTTGGGAAAGAGCTGATTTTGCAGATTGTGTCTGGCTCCTGCACACTTACTAGTGAACTCACTTGCTAGATACACTCACTCTTCTGTAGATTCTTGACTTTCCACATGGAAAGTGAGGAAGTGCAGGTACAGTTTTACTCAAGCATCCTCCGTCCTCCTGCTTCTGTGTGAGTCACATGGTGCTGCCCAAGCTGGAGCTGCGGCATGTCGGGGGCACAGTGGTCACAGCACATGTCCTAGGGCCCCTGTTTTCCTTGAGTGTTGAACTGCTTGCCCAGCCTCAGATTCCTCCTGTGGGCCTCCTGTGCCCTCTGCCTCTGGTTCCCTGGGGAGACAGAGGAATCGGCAGCTTGGCAGCTAGGTAAGGGTCAGCACTGCGAGAGACTTGCCTGGTCCCAGGTGCACCCTCCCTCCTGCCCTCCGTCCCCGTCCTGGTCTTATTGTATCAGTGAAGACCAGAGGCAGTAACTTGGGCTTCACAGCCGTGTACCATGGGAGCTGGCGGCGTGCTCTGGCGCCTCTTCTTGGCAACCGGTCAGACCCAGCCCATGGCCCATGGCCATAGCCACTAGATGGACACTTAGCCTGTGTGCCCGTCCTCCCCAGTGCCTTGCCAGGAGGATGCTGGCTTTGTTCTGGGTCCCATCTCTGCAGGTGACTGCAGCTCCCAAGCGCTTGCTTGGTGGTTGCCTCCATTTCTCCCCAGGGCAGGACAGGCTCCTAGAGGCCGAGGTGTGGCTTGGATGAGCAGCACCAGTCACCTGCCCTGGCCGTGGCACTGAGCCTGTGTCTCCTTGTTGGTCTCCTGTCTGCCATTGACTGGGGTTGCATTGACATAGCCCTTCTCGTCTCTTGGTTGAAAGTGGTTCATTAATTTTAGTTTCTCCCTAAACCCTACTCTTCATTCTTATTTTTGTTTATCTGTTTTGTGAGACAGAGAGTCACTGTGTAAGCCAGGCTATCCTTGAACTCACAGCAGTCCTCCTACCTCTGCTCCCGAGTGCTGGCATTACAGGCGTGTTTGCTTGCTTGCCTATTTATTTATTGTAAGGGAGGAAAAGTTTATTTTGTAGCTCATGGTTTGTAGAGGGCTTCGTCTGTAGTTGGCCAGCTCCAAGCAGGGCAGGGCAGCTTGGCAGAGGAGAAATAAATAGTTCATGTGGCAGGCAGGGGGCAGCAAGCAGCAGCCGTGTTTACTTTTTCAGGAGTCCGTTTCCCTGACCTCTGCTTTCCTCAAGCTCATTCTCTCCCATTTGTAACTGTGTGTCCTGTGCTGGGCTCAGGACTCCTCATCGTCATCCCCTTTGTGCTTGGCCTGCCCAATATTCGCATCTTGGCCTCTGAGAGAGAGAAGGAGAGAGTGTGTGTGTCCACTGAGGCACACTTTACTCTGCCTCAGCCAAGGAGAGTGTCCTTGTGCTGACCCAATGCTCACTCTGATGCTGAGCTCTGGTTGGGGTGATTTTCTTTGTTTGACTTTGGTCCTTGCCCAGCTCCATGTGTCATGGTGACATGAGTCTCTGGGATTTATAGCATCTCCTTTTTTATTTATTTTTTTGTTTTTTCATGGCAGGGTTTCACTAGGTAGCCCAGGCTGGCCTTTGAATGTACAGCAATCCTCCTGCCTCAGCCTCCTAAGTTCTGGGATCACAGGCATGCGTCACATTACCAGCCTGTAGTCCTCTCTGAGGCCTGACCAGCTCCATCTGGGGCTTTCTGCCTCTGTGCTGGGTGCCTGAATCTCACACCTACTAGTTCAGGCTGACGCAGATCTGTCTGCTGCTTCCTGGGCTGAGTACTCGGGAGCTTGCACAGTCCTCCTGTGAATGAATGGTGCCTCCCGAGTCAAGCGCTCCTATCTGGATTGCTGCACCCTGTCCCTAGCGAGCCCAGGTCCCAGCTTGCAGTGGCCGTGCACACCCCTGCCCCCATGTTGCTTTTACCCGTGGACTTTTACCTCTCTTCATTTGTCCCAAAACCATTGGTGGAATCCAAGTTCTGCAATATCTTTGGGGTGGAAACAGTCTGTTTGCAAAGCTCTTGGCTAAATTGAACTTTGGCTGTCTGTCCTTGGCAAGGTGGGTGTGTGCTGGGGTGCCTGGGGCTAGGTCCCCACCTGGAGCCCAGTGACAAGTGCACAGTGCTGTGGCATGTACAGGGTCCCTGTTCCGCGTGCACTGACTTCTTTGTTTTGCTGCATCAAGGCAGCAGTGTCTTTCTAACAGAAGTTCTCACCCAGCGCCTGTGGAAATGGAGCAGGAGAAGGTGCACATGAGCAAGGAGCCAGGCCCAGACACGGCCGCTTATGGCTGTCCCGCGTGCCAGGGGGAGGAGAGCTGGAGCTGCAGACACCCGGTCCGGGGCCGGGCCAAGTCCCGCAGCCTGTCGGCTTCGCCTGCCCTGGGCAGCACCAAGGAGTTCAGGTGGGCACTACTCTGTCCTTGTGTGTGTCCTGCCTGAGGGAGCGCCAGGCAGGGCCCAAGGGCCCATGTGCCACCTGCAGGGCCATGCCGTATTTCAGAGGTCCTTCGAAAGTCTGAGGCTGTTTTTTAATTTGTGGCATAGTCTCACTACGTAGCCCAGGCTGGGCTTGAACTTATGACACTGCCTCGGCCTCTGAAATGCTGCTTCCTGGTGTGCTTCACCATTCCCCGTATCAGCACGGACCCACCTGGGCAGAGCCCACACTGACTCAGCATCAGACTCAGTGAGGAGAGCAGGCGACCTGTGCAGCCTGGTGGGCGAGTAGGCAGGGAGGTATGCAGCCCGGCCTGGGGCTTCTGGCTATCACGTGCAGGGCCATGCACCTGCCACCTGACTACCCAGCTGGCCCACACCTGCAGTTGTCCAGGGTCACCCATGCAGCAGCCCTGAGGTTCGGGAGTCACCTGACAACATGTGGCTCTGATGGCTCTGTGGCTTCTGGCATACCACTCTCATCAGTGGTGACATTAAAAGTGGTGATTCCCAGACGGAAGTTTGCAGTGTTGCCTCCAGAGCAAGTTATATTTATAAAGTGCAAGAGGATTTTTGGTGAAAACAGTTTAAAAGCAAGTAGCCCTGTCACTGAGTTACAGCTGGGCAACATCAACGTGGAGTCAGGTTGCTCGGGGCAGTCATTGGACAGCAGCTGCATACTGAAAATGTCCAGGAAAGAACCTTTAAAGCTTGCATCATGAGGAATCAAGAGATGTTTGCCGAGATAAACTCTTAACTTGATTTAAGCTTTATGCAGAGTTGGTGCATATCAAGTGTCACGTGGTACCCCATCAGTAGCACAGCTGGCATGTTTTTGTGTACCAGCTAAAAAAGCAAGGGTGGGCTGGGGCGATAGCTCAGAGGTACAGCACCCATGTCACCCATGGGAGTGAGCCATCTCCCTGGGTCGTAGGCTTCAGGCGGAATTTCTTCTTCTGTAATATATTTTCTCATGAGTTTTCAAAGACTTGGTTGAATAGATCTAATGTGTGCTTATCCAGAAAGGCCCACGGCAGCTGGACGACTGCCCTGGTGTCTGTGGCCCTGCTGCCCAGCCCAGACTCTGGCCCATGAGATGCCTTGGGCCAGAGAGCCCTTCCAGGGGCCAGGATGATGAGGACATGGTTGCTATGGTGAGCTGGGGCTCCTGGGCTGGCAGTCTTGGTGCTGCCTTGGCCCTTGCCAGGTTGGCACTGACGGTAGGGTCCCCAGGCTGCAGGCCTGTGCATATGTGGCTGGCTTGAGTTGCTTTGCAGTCATTGGAATAGTCAGGCTGTTGTAAGGAGCACACATTTCCCTTGTGATTTAATGTGAAGGATTTAGGAGTGGTGTCTGAGGCCTCAGACCAACTGAAGCACAGAGCCCTCAGCCACGTTCTGCAGGGCTGGCCTGAGCCCACGTCCCTGTGGTTCGGGATCCGTATTCTGCAGCTCCACATGTCTGGCCGTGCAGGACAGTGGGCTGGATCTATGAGACTGGAGCCAGTACTGCTCCAGTTGCCCCACCCCCAGGTCTGTGTTTGTCACTGCCACTCCTCAATCTGACGCAGCCCTGCTGTGCCCCATAGGAGGACACGCTCTCTCCATGGACCGTGCCCAGTGACCACGTTTGGACCAAAGGCCTGTGTGCTGCAAAACCCCCAGACCATTATGTGAGTAGCATTTTCCTCAGCCCCCTGCTTTTGGGTGCCTGGGTGGGCCCCATATGCTTGCTTCTCCTTGACTCTGTGCCATGGACACTTGGCTGCTGAATGCCTAGGATGGGGCCCACGTGGGCTTTGGCCTGCACGGGTGAGTGGCGTCCACGTGAGGGATGAGGGTGCTCTCTGTAGCAGCAGGCACGGGGCTGATGCCTCATCCTGTGGGAACACATGGCTTCTCTTGATGGCCTCCAAGCAGAGGGATGTTAGTTGGCCTCTTAGTTGTTTGAAAGATTTTGTGCACGCTCGATTTTCATCTTGGTTTTGCGGTCCTGGGGACGAAGCCTGGGGCCTCAGCACTCAGGTGTGTGACTGCCAGTCCCTGGGCACTGCCTCTCTTGCCCCATGTTGCACATGGTGGTGTGGCAGTGCTTGCATTTTCTGAGGGGATCCTCCGAGGTGATCGGATGTTCTTGCTTCTGTCTACAACTGGCAATACCCTCACCACCCCCTCCAGGGACATTGGTGCCAGCGGGTTCCCTTGCAGGGGCAGAGCACATAACTTTTGGTGGCTTACCTGCAACCCTTGGCAGGCAGTGGTGTGACTGATCCCCAGGTACCAGCTCTGGGTAGCCAGGCGGGGACACGGGTGAAATGCAGCGAAGCGTGGCATGAGGTGACACCTCCCGCACTTCAGGCCTGGGCTGACTGGTGTTAGTGCTTTGAGGGGAGCCTTCCAGCTCTGGAAGTGCAGGAAGGGACTGCTGCCCAGGGAGGCAGGCAGGGGGAAGAGTCGGACGCTGGTCCTACTCCCATTTAGACACCCAGGCCCTGCCCCTACGTGCACTCTGCTGTTCTCATAGCCTCAAAGTCCACCTGGCCCTGGCCCTTACCCTCTGCTGCTCTCCCTCCTGGGGACCCAGCTGCCTCCTCTTCACCCAGCTGCCCTGCCACCCTGCAGCTCACTTGTATGCAGTGCAAAGGTCCCATCCAACCTCCTGCCCTCATTATCCTCAGCTTCTGTGGCCAGGCACAGGGTTGCTGCCAGGTTTAAGTCTCTGACTCCCTGGTGCGCTTGGGGCCAGGTGCTTCCAAGCCATTCCTAGAAGCTGGCAGCCCAGCACCTTCCTGCCAAGGCCTTCTGCCCCCCTTAACCCCAGCCCCTGCCCTCCTGTGCGTATCTGGGAGACAGAACTCTGATCCAGCCCTGTCTGTAGCCCCATCCCTGCCTCCTTCAGCTGGATGGGGCCTTGTGTGGAACTGGCCCCACACGCACCCCACGTCACATAGGAGGACAGGTGAAGAGGTGAACTCTGAGTAGTTTTATTTCTAGCTTCACTGGCAGGGGTGCAGGTCACGTGGCCCCAGGTTCCCTCAAAGCTGTCCAGGTAGGCTGTAGCCACACCACCACACCCACCACCCTGGGTGCCTGGCTGGACAGCACCACCCTGCTGTGCAGGTTACCGGAGCAGGAAGTTGAGGAACTGGTTTGTGGTCACCTCCTGGGTGGCCAGGTGGACCGCCTCCTGCAGGCTTGGGCCCAGTGGAGGGGCGAAGGAGTGCCCCTGCCTCTTTCACCTGCCACCCTTTCACCTGGTGGCTTGAGCACCAGCCCCTCCCATGGGTGGAGCCACCAGTTCCAGTTCCGCAGGCCCAGTGGGGCCCGGCGGGGTAGAGGGTGAGGCCATGGGTAGCCCAAGTGGGTGTTTCTCTCTCTTTCTGTCCTGTTAGGTAGGCAGTTGAGCAGAAGGGTATTTTCATTTTTATAACTTGAGCAAGCTGTTTTGGTTCAGCTTCTGTACGTCCTTTGCTGAGTCTGATCAGCGCACCTGGCTATTAGTCCGCAGTGTGGGCCTTGGCTCCACATAGACGCAGGGCCGGGCGCCGTCCGGCGGGACAGGGCGGTGTGTGTTTCTGTCCTCCACAGTGGAGTGGCCCGGGATGCTGAGGACACTGCTGGCTCCTCAGAGGTGGTGGCCACCTCCAGAGCTGCATGAGTGACGGGGTGGGTGGGGCAGAGCAGTGCCATGGGTGGCCCCTCGGCTCCCAGTAGTACCTGGAAAGGGTGAGTGTTGGGTTGGTGTCTGGGCGGCTTGTTGGGCAGGGCAGGGCAGGGCAGGCACTTGCTGCCAGCAGGAGCCCCCCATGCTCCCAAGAAGCTGCTGTGGCAAGCAGTGACTGCAGCAGCCTCCCCATCCGGCGCACAGCCTGGAAGGGGCCCTTCTGTGGCCAGCACTGTGGTCTCAAGCGAGCCAGGGATCGGGGCTATGTGGATGAAGCCCTGGGACAGGCACGGGGCAGGCAGAGCAGGATGCTGTGCACACATTTGGGTGCTCCTGGGACTCAGAGTGACAGGGACCACAGCTGGCAAGGCCCTGGCCTTGGGCGAAATACCCCTGCCCCTTGCTGGAGTCCACATGCAGCTGCTTCAGAGTCTGAGGCCTGAGCAGGCTCTGTGCCAATGACCCCCATGGCCATGGAGGCCTGGAGCTGGCACTTGCAGGACTGCCCCTAACTTTGAACCAGTGGTTTCTACTGGAAAAATCAAGTCTCACCTAAGTTCCCATGCTGGCTTTGCAAGGTACGATCACGTGTCCTCACGTCTGGGCTTGGCAGCCCTCAGGGGCCTGCGCTGCTGGGTTTCTCCTGAACTCCACATAGCCCTTGCTCCAGAGGGGTCCCTGGCAGTGTGGGACTAAACCTTGGCATGCACAGGCCTGGAGGCGGGCAGTGGGTGTGGGCAGGGCCCATGATGGAGCAGCTGGGGTACCCCAGCTGTTGGTTTGGCAGGTGGGACTCCCCAACTGCAGGCTGCAGGACTTCTTCCTCCCCACATCACAGCCTTGTCCTCTGGGAAAGGGAGGCTGTTGGTGCCAGCTGTCCTCCCCTCTCAGGCACATCCAGGACCCTGCGAGCCAGCGGTTGACGTGGAACAAGTCCCCAAAGAGTGTGCTCGTCATCAAGAAGATTCGTGATGCCAGCCTATTACAGCCCTTCAAGGAGCTCTGCATGTACCTCATGGAGGTGCGGTGGCACGGGGCATGTGGGGGGGTGACCTGCGAGGTGTGGGGTCCCTGCGCCTGAAGCAGGGCTTGAGACTGCTGATGCACATATGCCGTATGGCACCCATGAAGACACAACCAGGGAGGCCCAGCAGGGGCCAGGCCAGGAAACAGGCAGGTACAGGGACAGGAGCCCAGGGGCCCCGCCGCCATGGTGAGCCCACTCCTGAGGCCGCCACCTGGTGTGAGCCTCGTGGCCTTGGTCCCTCGGTGCCCTCTCAGCACCGCTGCGGGGATGTCTCGCCGTCGGCTCTGTGCTGCTGGCTCAAACCTGCCCCCACAGCCGAAAGAACGAGTCCCTTCAGCTCATGGTGTCTAGGACTGCAGACCAGTGTGCTGCTTGAACAGGGACAAGTGAGGCATGGTAGGTCCATGCACTTGGCAGTGGGGAATGGACAGGAGACGCTGCTGAGCAGTCGAGGCCCTGGCCCTGCATCTCCCAAAAATTCTTCCTCTGAGTGCGCTAGGCAGACCCGTTTTGGGTGGATGGAGGAGATGTGTGGGCCATCAGGCATGGGGCACAGTTTCCCAGATTAAGGAGGGCTTAGCGGGCAGGGACTACTGTGGGCACCTGGTCCTGGAGGCACCGCTGCTAGCTACTCATTCCTACCAGTCCCAAGGATCCGCCTTGCTGGCCTGGCACCGTGCAGAAACAGCAATGTGTCTTCCAGTCTCCTCAGAAACTACAGGATCCAGCTGTGGCTGCTCCCGCCACCCTGTTCTAAGCCGATGCTGCACCCTGAGGACCTGGGGCCCAATGGAGGCTGCCTTGCTCAGTGTCCTTTGCCTGCAGGAGAATGGCATGATCGTGTATGTGGAGAAGAAGGTGCTAGAGGACCCTGCCATCGAGAGTGATGACAACTTTGGACCAGTGAAGAAGAAATTCTGCACCTTCCGGGAAGGTAAGGCACAACTGCTTGACCCTCTCTGGTTGGGGCTGAAAAGCCCCGTGGCTCTGATGCTCTGTCGGCTTCCTGTGCAGATTACGACGACATTTCCAACCAGATTGACTTCATCATCTGCCTGGGTGGAGATGGGACCCTGCTGTATGCCTCCTCGCTGTTCCAGGTGAGGCGTGGCCACTGGGGCACACAGGCCCACTTCCTTCTCTCAGGGCGATGTCCTGGCCCAGGGCTCATGGGAGCCATTACCCTTAGGTCCTGGGCAACCCCTACTCCGGATCCCACCCCTGGGCCCACTCAGCCCCACAGCATCCCAGATGCGCACAGCCCCCTTGGCAGGTCTGCAGGAGGGCCGTCCTAGGGTCTCTGCATGGTGGTGTGGACCCCACCTGACTGTTCCCCCCACCTCCCCACAGGGCAGTGTGCCTCCTGTTATGGCCTTCCACCTGGGCTCGCTGGGCTTCCTGACCCCGTTCACCTTTGAGAGCTTCCAGTCACAGCTGACCCAGGTGATCGAAGGTGCGTTGGGGTTCAGAGCCCGTGGCACCGGTGTGCAACGGCCCTCCAGGGTCTGCTTGGCATTTGTAGCCATTTTGTTAACCATACATAGAGCAGCATTTCCCAAGTTTCAAAATGGAGACATTTATGCCAGCTGAGATGGCCTGTCAACCTGGCACTCAGGTGGCTGAGGCAGGGGGGTCACCATGAGTTCAAGGTCACTCTGGGCTATGGAGAGTTAAAGGCCAGGCTGAGCTACATAGTGAGACCCTGTCTCAACAGAAAACAGAAAGATTTGGGGATTTCTGAAAATTTGGATGGCTCAGCACCACCTCACCCAGAGGATTTGGGCTGGACCAGGTCTGAGGTACAGCAGAGGCAGCTGGTTCTTGTGACTGTGCTTAGGAGTGGCATAGGGAGTCTCAGTCCCCTCACCCCGCACGCCCTGTATCCCTCTGGCCCACAGGGAATGCGGCCGTTGTGCTCCGGAGCCGGCTGAAGGTCAGGGTGGTGAAGGAGCCCCGCACCAAGAAGCTGGCCGAGCACAATGGACTTGGCGAGAGCGGGAACGGGTTGCCCAGCCCCCAGCTGGAGGGCGGGAAGCAAGCCCTGCAGTACCAGGTCAGTGCCACCCTGGGCACCACCTCTGCCCCTGACCTTCCCACCAGCCCCTCTAAGCATTGTTCCCTCCAGGTCCTGAATGAGGTGGTGATCGACAGGGGCCCCTCCTCCTACCTATCCAACGTGGATGTCTACCTAGATGGACACCTCATCACCACTGTGCAGGGTGACGGTAAGGCCCGGCACTGCCTGGGGCCCTATGTCTGGCAGGCCGAGAGTGACACCTGCCTCTGTCCCCATCAGGAGTGATTGTGTCCACCCCAACGGGCAGCACGGCGTACGCGGCTGCAGCCGGTGCCTCCATGATCCACCCCAACGTACCCGCCATCATGATCACGCCCATCTGCCCGCACTCGCTGTCCTTCCGGCCCATCGTGGTCCCTGCGGGGGTGGAGCTGAAGGTCAGAGCTGGTCCCTGTCCTTCCTGCTGAGTCCCAGGGCCACCATGGGCTGGCCCACAGCCCTGAACCCACATGGTACCCAGTCAGATGGGATGGTGCTGCACCTCTGCCCTTGGACCTTAGGGCACAGGTGGGGATGCCTCAGGGCCCAGGTGGGGAGAAACCTCTGCCCAGGCTGCCCTAGCCCCTGGGCTCCCACCTGGTGCTCTTTCCAAATTGCCCCGCCCCCACTCACACCCCAACCTGCCCAGGACCCACCCCCGTCCCCTCTCGGCCTGTCAGATCATGCTGTCACCAGAAGCCAGGAACACTGCGTGGGTGTCCTTGGATGGACGGAAGCGGCAGGAGATACGCCATGGAGACAGGTATGGGCAGCCGGCTAGGGCCAGGGGCGTGTGGGTGGCAGAGGTGCCTAGGGTATAGGGGAGGAGGCTGGGGGCTGCAGCGGCCCCTCTCACTGGTCCTCGTGCCCCTTTGGCCAGCTGTGCTGGCCTTGGCTTGGTGGCCTCTGTGGGAGTTGTCAGCCACAGTGTGGGTCCCAGCTCCGGCTCCTCTGCAGCATCACCATCACTACCTCCTGCTACCCGCTCCCCTCCATCTGTGTCCGTGACCCCGTGAGCGACTGGTTTGAGAGCCTGGCACAGTGTCTGCACTGGAACGTGCGAAAGAAGCAGGCGCACTTCGAGGAAGAAGAGGAGGCGGCCGAGGGTGTGGAGGAGAGCTAAGAGGCTCCGTGGGTGCCTGGGCTTCAAGCTGCAGCGGGCCAGGGCTTGGGCCACCTTTTGCGATCAGATGAGCTTTTTAACATTTTTAAATCTGAGTTTTTACATTTCTGATGAGGCAGAGTGAGCCTAAGCAGTGAGTCCTGGCTGCCCTGGAGCAGGGCCCTCACTGCTGCAGTCTGGGGTCCCACGATGATAACAGGCTAGGCTTTCCCAGCCCGGGGGCTCGGCCCCCACATTCCTTCCCCGGGTGGCAGTGGCTCCCCGGGGTGTCGTAGAGGCTGTGCGCTCTTTGGAGGCTCTTTCCCACCGTCTGAAGTGCTTATGTACATATTTTCTTGTACACACTTGTGGAACTGGGGCAAGGGACCCACCCATGTCCCTGTTTACACTGTGTCCAGGAGGCAGCTGCTCCACGGCGGAGACCCTGCAGCGGACCTGCTGCCTGCTGGGACGGGTGATGAGGACACGAGCGGGGTGGGGGGCCGCTGGGGCTCCCTGTCTACACCGCCATTGGCTCCGTTTGTGGGTTTTCATCTTTGCTGCTGAGCTGGTGACAGCAGGAAGATGGGGCACCCTTCCTGGCTGTACCCTGAAGGGCACATGTGGGCGGAGCCTGAGCACCTCCTTCTCCATGCGTCCTTGCTGCCTGTGATCCCAGCTACTCAGAAGGCTGAGGCAGGAGGAGCACAAGTTCAAGGCCTGCCCTTGTACCTCAGTGAGACTTCGTCTCAAAATGAAAAATGAAAAGGGCTGGGGATGTGGCTCAGGCCCATGCCCCATCTCCAGCCCCCCAGGTCCTGACCCCAGCCAGGCACCGGGACTCAGAGGTTGGGCCGTCCTTGCCTGCCTGTTGCCCAGCAGGGCGTGGCCTGCCTGTCTTGACAAGAGTGGGTGATGACCAAGCTGTCCTCAGCTGTCCTCATCAGCTCCTCCTGGGCTGCGTGAGAACCCTTGGGCTTTTGAAGTAAATTCTTAATGTTTCATATTGTTAATACCTTGGAAATTTGTTAACTGTTACTGAAAGCCTTAGTACTATTTTTAGATCCTTTCAATAAAAAAAAACTTATAAAAAAATAGTTCAGTTTTAGATCTACTTTCTCCCAGCTTTTGTTAACTGTCCCAGGACCCAGGTTCTGCAGGTACCATCCCCGACGCTCAGACTCTCGGCCCCTCACTGTGGGCCAGTGCACCCCCAGGGGGACCTGCAGCCCTTTCAGGGGCCAGGTGAGAATGCCAAGTGGGCCAGAGTCCCCTGGCCCCAGGAAAGGGCACAGACTTCTGTGACCATGCCCATGGGCACAGCACTGGGAGCACTGAGTACCGTGTGTGTGCACGCTAGGGATGCCGGGGTGACTCGGGGACAGCCCCACACTGCAGCCCAGGCAGTGCCCAGCCTGTCTCTCCAGCCCTTCTTAGCCCAGCTGGGAACCAGCGCCTGTCACCCTCCTAGCCCTCCCTGGCCACATGTGAGAAACAGGATGTTGATGGCCAGCAGCCCTAGGTTGGTGCCACTAGGACCTAGGCTGCTGCTGACTGCATGGGGCAGCTGGTAGCCTGGTCATGCGAGGCCCGGGGCTTCCTGTGTGGGAAGCAGCATCGTGTCCCAGATGTGGTCCCCCGTGGCCACCGGTGCACTGGCTACTCTGCTATGCTCCTGCCTGGGCCTGCAGCCCCTTAGAATCCCAGACTAGCCGGCCAGAGTCAGATGCCTGTACCCAGGTCCAGTCCTCGGCAAAAGCCATTGGTGTCACCCTCCACCCCTTGGGGATTGAGGACCTTGGGGACACAGATGTGGCTAGAGGCCCCCAGCTTGGGTGAGCGATGTCCCCTCCGGTGTAGACCACTGGACCAGGACAGACCCTTTCCCCAGGGCCCTAGGCACTGCTGTCCTCACTGTCCCCCAGGAAAGGCAACTGCAGGCCCCAGGGACAGATGGACCTGAAGCCAGAGGGTGTGGGGGCTATGGGTTCTCGGGCTGCTCCCAAGAGGATGGGCCCAGCTGTATGGTCTTGGCACCTGTCCCTGCTGCTCAGCACTCTGGGTCCATTGAAGAGAGTGAGGCACTGGGCCTGGCTGGGCTCCTCTGCCTCTGTACCTTCTGCTCAGTCCTGTTTCTTTTTTTTTTTTTTTTGTCCGGTACTGGGGATTGAACTCACAATCTTGCACTTGCCAGACAGGTGCTTATGCTGCTGAGCTAAATCCCCAGCCTGTCTTCTACTTTCTGTGCTTTCCCTTCCAAGTTTTTTTTGTTTTTGTTTTTGTTTTTTTTTTGGTACCAAGAATGGAACTCAGAACCTCATATTTGCCAGGCAAGTGCTGTGCCACTGAGCTATATCCCTAGCAACCCCCACCTTTTTTTTTGTGTGTGTGTGTATTTTTACCGGTACCGGGGCTCGAACTCACGACCACAGGCTTGCAAGGCAGGCGCTTATGCTGCTGAGTTAAAATCCCCAGCCCCAAGCCCCACCTTTTTCATTGTATTTTTTTTTTTTTTTTTCTGGTATCAGGGGAATCAAACTCATGACCTCCCACTTGCCAGGCAGGTACTTATGCCACCGAGCTAAATCCCCAGCCCCTGTATTTTTAAATGTATTCTTATATTGATGGATTGATTGTCTTTTTGAAACAGGGTCTTGCTGTATTCAGGCTGCTTGAGCTCACTTTGTAGCCCAGGTTGGTCACAAACTTGCAAAGATCCCCCTGCCTCAGCCTCTTGAGTGCTGGGATTACAGGCGTGCCCCACCACGCCCAATTGTTTTTATATTTTTTTGACACAAGGTCTTAGTATGCAGTTTAGGGTGGCCTTGAAATTACTATGGAGCTCAGATTGGCGTTGAACTCATGGAGATCCTCCTGCCTCAGCCTCTGAGTACTGGCATCATAAGCATGCACCACCACACCCAGCCCTCCAGGCTGCTGTTAAGGGAACTTTAACAGTCACAGCTCCTCTCTGAGTCCAGCACCTGGGCCAGCCAAAGCAGAGTGTGCAGGGTTGTCCCCACTCTACCAGGGAGCTGCCATTTTGTCAAAAGATGCTGAGCGCTTCATCCCCTCCCCCGATCTGATCGAAGCTCAGCAGAATTCGAGTGGGCTGCAGGTCCATCCCAAATCCTTTAGGCCTGAGGACCTAACGCTGACAGGAAGGGGTCGAGACCAACAGGTCCAGCGCATCCGTCAGGGGCTCTGCCTAGCTTCTCTTCATTTTCCTGGTACAGGGAATCGAACCCAGGACCTCCACACTGAGCTACATTCCCAGCCCTTTATACACTTTTTATTTTAACACAAGATCTTGCTAAGTTGCCAACTCCTGCCTCAGCCTCCCTAAGGGCTGGTATTACAGGCATCCTCCATCGCTCTGGCTCCCTGTGTGCCTTCACAGGTATTCTTTGATCCTGCTTGTTTTTCCAAGCCGATTCCAGAAACTAGCTGAGGACCACAAAACTGAGCCCAAACTGGCAGGGAAGAAAAGACCAAAGGTCTTGTGGTGTACACCTCTTACCTCAGTACTCTGGAGGCTGAGGCAGGACTGCAGTAGACTCGAGGCCAAGCTGAACTACATAGTAAGACTTGTTATAGCTGGCATCTAAATATCCCCACAGAACCTCAGGCAGTCATGGCGGGTGGGCCTTTCAAGGGTGCCTGAGTCTAGCATTGTGATTGGTTCATTGTCCAGCACTGGGATTGGCAGCTCACCTGCCCAGGGGTGGAGCCCATTTTGTTCTTGTTGCTTGTGCCACCCTGCCTTGGAGCCAGCTGAGGATGGACTGAAACCTCCACAAACTGAGCAAAATAAACCTTTCCTTCCCTAATTTTGTACGTCAAGTATTTTGTCTCAGCAATGAGCCCAGGTCACAGGGGCTCAGTGTGGGGGTCCCTGACTCTACAGCCATCACAAAGTTGGACATGAAGATGGGAAGGTCTGTGGTTTCTTTCTCTTTTCTTTTCAGCAGTTGGCACTGAACCCAGAGTCTTCACACTGGCCTGCATCTCCAGCCTGGTTTTAAATGTTTTTGGAAATGTGGGCGTGAACTTGTCATTCTCCTACCTGAGCCTCCCAGAGAGCTGGGGTTCTAGGTGTGCGTCATGTTTGGCTTTTCCTGGAAGTCAGTTTGGGGACTTTACCTCTGGAGGTCTCAAGATTTACCAAGTCATCCAGATACTGAATTTAGGCAACAAAGAGCAGCAGCCTCAGGTTCCAGGGTTTCTACTCAAGTAAACATTTCACTTCTGCTTCCTCTTTCTTCCTATTTTTAGGCCCAAGCCCCCAACCAGCTTCCAGGAACGGTGGCTGCCCTCCTCCACCCCTAGTTGCCAGGGCACAGTCCTAGCACAGGCACCACCCCGGCACCCCCACCATCAGCTCCGCTTCCTTTTCACCCCAGGCCCCACCTCGTCTCCCTTCCTGTCCCCTCCCTTCTCCCCACCTGTGGCCTTTCTGGAGAATCCCAAGGAGGAACTGACTTAATAATTGACTTCTGGGCAAGATCTAAAGGGGTTTTATTAACTTTAGGCAGTGTAACAGTCATTTTTAAAAAGTGCCTTCCGCCGGGCGTGGTGACCACACCTGTAATCCCAGCAGTGGGAGGCTGAGGCAGGCGGGTCGCTCGAGGCCACCCTGGGCTACATAAGGGAATTGAAGGCCAGCTTGCTCTACATAGTGAGACCTGTTTCAAAAAAAGACAGAAAAAAAACTAAAAAAAAAAAAAAAGAAAAGAAAATTTCCGTCGGCAGAACGGAACCCTGCGATCCCTCAGCGTCCCAGCGTGGTCCTGGGTGCATCGGAACCAGGGCCCCAGTGGCCCAGGGGGCGGCCCCACCCAGGGGCGGAACCTGCGTGGCTCAGCCAATCAGCAGCCCCACGTCTGGGTGCGGCGGGCCGCCGGCGGCGGTCGGGCCACGCAGGCGCGTTGCTCAGGCCGGCAGCGCGGTCTGCTCCGGGCGCCGGAGGCCCGGGCTGGGGCCGTCGGCGGGGGTCGGAAGCCTGGTTCGGCTGCGAGCCAGAGGCCGGGGTCCCGCAGCCGGCCCGTCCGGCGAGCCCGCGCCACTTCCTGAGCGTCACATCCGGCGCCGTGCCCCTCGCCCAGGCCTCGGTGTGCCCCCGCCGCGCCCCGGCCGCCACCCGGCGCTCGTTTGCCCCGCCCGGCCCGGCCCCAGCACCGGCCCGCTGCCCTGGCCCGGCCGCGGTGTCCCCCGGCCCCGGCGTTCCCTGCCCGGCCTGGGCCCTGCGTCCCAAGAGGGGCCCTTGTCCGCGGGAGACGCCGAGTCCACACGGAGGAAGCGGGTGCGCGCCCGCGGGGAGCCCTCGGGGCGGGGACCAAGGTAGGGCGGGGACGGGGCGGGGGCGGGCCCCGGCTGAGCCCGCGCTGCGGAGGCTGCCGAGCTCGGACTGAGCCGACTTCCGGCCCCGATCCGGGCCGGCGACCCTGCAGTCGGGCCCAGGTCTGGCCTTGCTTCCTTCTAGAGAGCCAGTGACTGGCCTATCTTCTTTTTAATCCTGGGCTTTCTTACTGCGCCGCCGCCTCCACTTTTTCTGGTGTTTTTTTGTGCTTTCGAGCTGCTCAAACTGGGCTTGTGTTCCAGTTCTCCTGCCTCAGCCTCCCAGAGTGCTGGGATTACTGGTTGCATTACACACCGGCTTGATTTTTCTGTAAAGGTTGTTCACGAGGTGTTACAACAGACAGGTAGTTTCCGCACAATACTCGAGCTCGCTTTCTTCCTGTCTGTCTGTCTGCCTGCCTTTTTGAGACAGGGTCTCACTATGCAGCTCAGGCTGGCCTTGAACTATCAGCGATACATCTGGCTCAGTGTCCCAAGCAGAGGTTACAGGCATGTACCACCGTGTCAGACTAAGCTCCCATCCTTGAATACACCGTGCACTGCTACAAAAGAAGGAAAAAAACCAGACACTGCTGTGGAGAGATCGCCATCCAACCCACCCTTTGTTGGTTATTTAACTGCGGCAGCTACACTCTATCCCTCTTTATTTTTCCAGAGGGAGTTTTGCTGAATTGCCCAGGTTGGTATCCAGTTTGTCACCCTCTCACCTCTCCCACTGCAGCCGCTGAGATTGCAAACTAAGCTAGTCTCTGCTCAGAGGCTTTTCCCAACAAACCAAGTTCAATACGTTTTACTAAAAACAAACTTTGTAAACATTTTTAAAACATCAGGAGGCTGAGGCAGGAGGATCATGGTGAGTTCTGTTCAAGGCCAGCCTGCATTACACAGCGAGGTCCTGTCTCAAAACAAAACAGAAAAAGGGGCTGGGGATTTAGCTCAACAGTGTTAAGTTCCTGCCTGGCAAGTACCAGGTTGTGAGTTTGATTCCTAATACCAAAAAAACCCAAAAAACCCCAAAGATTTTAAAACAGAATGAAACGTTTTAAAGAGCATGAAAAGAACGTCAAAAGGGGAAATATGGTCAGGCACAATAGGAGAATGAAGCCAGAGGATCACAGATTTGAGCCCAACCTGGGAAATTTTATCAACCTACCAAGACTCTGTTGAAAAAAGGAGTGTGGCAGCTCACACCTATAATCACAGCGCGTGGTAGGGGGTCAGGGAGTTGGCACTGTGAATTTGAGGCCAGTGCCAGCTACATAATGAATTCAGGGCCACCCAGGACTACATAGCAAGAGTGTCCGGACTTTGTCTTGGTGCTGCAGACAGACCACCGTCCTGGGATCAGACTGACTCTGCTTGCTGCTTCCATGACCCCTAGTACCACATGCCTGACTCAGGATCCCCCACCCGCAGGTTTCTGGGAAGCCCTGTACTCTGGACTTGGCTCATCACCCAGTCACACCCTGAGATGCTCAGAGTCCAAAGGGCTGGGTGTTCTCGGATGGTGTTTCCATCTCCTGCCCTTTACCCTTCACAGTCACGAGAATACCTAGGCCCCACAGTGTCGGGCACAGTGAATGGGGCCGCACCCCCCAGCCTTTTCTGGTTTTTTGTTGTTGTTGTTGTTCTGAGACAGAATCTCACTAAATTGTCCAGGCTCGGCTTGAACTTGTGATTTTCCTGCCTCAGCATCCTGAGTAGCCGAGATCCCAGGCTAGTGCCACCTTGCCTGGGCTCCATGAGCTTATCTTGAGGGTGGGCGTCCTGTGGTTCTTCTTGTAGTCCTATCTGGCAGCTGGGGCAGTGCCCGGGTGCCATAGTTGCCACCAGGACTGGCATCATTCAGTGACCTTTGATCGCTGTCACTGATCGGCTGCCTGGCTCCACTCCACTGCATGCTGGAGACTGGACCTCAGCTGTCACTGTCTTGGGTGTGAGTCCATCCCTCTGTCCCTCTGCCCCTCTTCCGGTCCCCAGGGCTCTTGACTTCGATCACCCAGGAAGAGTGTAGAGTGCATGGCCACCACTGGGGCACCTGGGCCTCAGAACTGGCCCTACCCAGATGTCCACCTTGTGATCAGGGTGCCTGACCCCGGCTAGTGATTGATGTGGGGGCTGGATGTCCGAAACACCCAGTTCACGTTCTCTAAAATCAAGAAATGAACTCCAGGAACAACGGAGGTTAAGAGTAGGAAGAATTTATTGAGAGGAAGAAAACTTCTGTCCAAGAGGGACAGAGGGATTCTCAGAGTGGGTGTTAATTGAGTAAAGCCAGGGAGTAAGACAGGACCAAGGTGGAACAGAACTATGATCAACCAGTAAGATTACAGGTGCAGTTGTTTAGGTAACGTTGATCCAGTGGGAAGTCACAGGGCAGTGTGTGGTGGAACAAAACCCTGATGAGCCAATAGGATCACAGCAAGTGTAGTCTTGGCTGCTATTGAATAAATGATGATCATGGGGAAGCAGGTCATGCAGCAACCATCTGGGCAGATAAGGACTTTCCTGGAGGGGTGGGTGGAGGCTTGGTCTCCACCCGAGGTGATGGATGCCTGCCTAGAATGTGAATCATCAAGGTTCATCCCTGGGGGAAGCATGTGAGTGTGCATGAGTAGTACCTGCAACTGCCTCTGCACAGATTTCCGGGCCCAGCCCTCTCTGACTGCCCACAACATTTCTGCCTTACCTTGCTGTCTATAATGCTTGGACCAGGAGGGGACCCCAGGGCCCAGAGCCGTGGCCTGGAGGAGGCTGTTGGTCCTGCTGTCCCAGGAGCCTTTCTCCAGTGCTGTGGGTCCCAAGGGTCGCTTCAGGGCCAGCTAAGGCTGTGGGCACCCTCCTCCTGTTGTGGAGTGCTGGGAAAGGCCCGGCTCCTGGGGTCCCACAGCCCAGGCTCCTCCACTTGTTCCAAGAGACTGAGTCAGAGCAGCAGCTTCAAGGAGTGGAAAAGGCTGATAGGAAGGAGGCACTGCAGAGAGGTTTAGGATTGTGCAGTCATTCTGGGCCGCTGAGGCAGGAGGACTGCATGCTGGAGCCCAGCCTGGGCTACTTAGTGACTTAAGACCGGGGTGGAGTGGGGGTAGGTATAATTAAAAGCTAAAAAAGAAAAGCCTGGTCCTGTAAAGGTCCTGGGCTCAGTTCCCCAGTACTAGGACAGAAAGCTGTCTTCAAGGCAGTGATAGAGAAACCTGGGGTTCTGATGGGAAAGGGTGCTGTGGCCAGGGCTCTGGGTTCTGGCTGGTCCTCTCGGCAGGGTCTTCGAGGTCCTAGATGGCACTAGCACTGACATTGGCACCCTTCTGCTGGGCCACTTGATCTCCATCCTGAGATGATGTTGCCTGTGGGGCTGAGGGATGTCATGAGGTGCCTGCTCCACCTCAGGTGGCATTCTTGGGCCGGCCCAGAACCCTTTGTAGGGGAGGAGACTTTGGTTCCAACTTGGACTAGGTCAGCAGGCCACGTGGGTGTCCCACTGTCCTGCTGCATCCTCTGTGCTGGCCTTGGGACACCACAGCCCTTCATCCCCAAACCAGCCAGGCGGGGCATGTACAGGCAGCTAAGAGCAGGACTCCGGGGCTCATCTAGGGACAGTGGCAGCAGCCTGGGGATCCAAGCAGGGTGGTTGGCTCTGTGCCGGCTGTGACAGACTGAGGAACACTCTGCTCTCATCTCTGGTTTCTGTCACAATGTCCCTGAAACCCTTGGAGTGACAGGAAGGGTACTGAGGCAGGGGCCCCCACCTGCAGGAGAAGAGGCCATGCTCAATGTCAGGGACACCCAAGATGGTGATGAGCTTGCAGGCCAGGTGCCATGGTGCTGAGGGTGTGGCACCAGCTGTGCCCCCGCCTGTATCCAAGGAGGGCACCATGGAGCCCTCACTGGGCCCTGTGGGTCATATCCCCGGGTTGACCACATCTGAAGTGGGATGGCCTTAGGGACTGGAGTGACTTTGGGTGGACAGGGTCCTCTGAGGAGACAGCCCAATGTCCGAATGCATGCATATGCACAGCGGTGGTCCTGGGCAGGCTGGGCTCCTGCCCTGGTGGTCTGGTGTCTCTGGGCAAGGGGGCTGCCCTGTGCGACCTCAAGATCTTCATGTCCCTGGCCAAGGTCAGGGCTTGGGTCTCGTCGGCAGCTCTCTGAGCAGCACTGCTCATTACCCCTTAGTCCTGTTGCTGCCCAGCCTGGGTTTGTGCCAGGAGCAGGCATTGCTGGCCTCTGTTTCCAGAACAAGGGGTTTGTCTCTTGCACTGACCACTGTTAGGTCAGGTTGTGTTCTACTGTTTGATGGTTGCTAACAGAAGAAGCAGTGACCTGACTTCTGGCGCGTGAGGGCTGCTTCTCATCCCTAGCCTCAGCTTTCTTCTGAGCTGGCTCTCCAAGGCGCGGCGTTTATGTTCCTGGCTCCCCCTACCCCTACCCCGTCACCTATAGTGACCAGGGAGTCACACCAGTTTCTGTCTGGATGCTGTGTGCATGCAGGCTGGTGCAGTCTGTGTTGTGGTGCTGCCACGGGAGGTCAGCAAGGCTGCTCCAGCGCTAGGCCAGGTACACCTGCCTGGGTCACCCCCACCTCCGCTCAGTCTGTGGTTTGAGCGTGGTCTCAGACGGGTCTGTGCAGTCTCAGGGGCTGGGGTGCCTAGGAGGCCACTGAAATCTTCATGTTCCTGCGGGAGGTGGGGACTGGAAGAACTGTGTGTGCACCTGGGCCCTAGGAGCGCAACAGGGTGAGGAGAGTAGTGTCTGGGACGGGGGAGGGTAGACATCCCATGACCAGGGCTGCAGGCCCACGCGTCTGCCAATAACCCAGACTGTGCAGACCGGGCACATGGAAGCCTACAGCCCAGCACAGGCCGTCAGCAAGGGATGTGCATGCTGTAAGTGAGCTGCCAGAGTCACCTCCAGGTCCCTTGTCCAAGGAATGGAGTGGGGCAGTGTTTTGGGTCATTTTGGGAAATATTGAGTCCAAGGCTTTTGCACTGAGCTATATCCCCAGCTCTTCTTTGGGGAAGGGTTTTTTTGTTTTGTTTTGTTTTTGTTTTTGTTTTTTTCCTTTTTATCAATCCGGGGATCGAATTCACAACTGCCTGCTTGCAAGGCAGGCGCTTATGTCTAAATCCCCAGCTAAATCCCCAGCCCCTAAGGTTTTTTTTTGTTTTGTTTTTGTTTTTGTTTTTGTTTTTTGATACCAGGGATCGAACTCACAAACTTGCGCTTGCCAGGCAGCCACTTACGCCACTGAGTTAAATCCCCAGCCCCAGGGTTAAGGTTTTTTTTTTTTGGCTTTTCGTTTTTTTATCGGTACCAGGGATCAAACTCACGACTGCCTGCTTTCGAGGCAGGGGCGCTTATGCTGCTGAGCTAAATCCCCAGCCCCTCGGGGTTAAGATTTTTTGAAACAAGTTCTGGCTATGTTCAAGGCTGGCCTTGAACCCACTGTGTGGCCTAGTCTGGACTCAAACTCACTGCAATCCTCCTGCCTCAGCTTCCTGAATGCTGGGATTATAGCCATGTACCACCATGCCTTTTATTTTTTGGAGAGAGCATCTTGCTGAAGTTGCCCAGGCTAGGTTCAAACTTACAGCCCTCCTGCCTCAGCCTCCCAGGTGCACCCCCCATGCTCACTTCCCCCTGTCTCTTACCACGTGTCCTGTGCTGTGTGAGAGCAGGGACACCCGGTTCCTGTCCAGTCACCAGCTGTGGGACATCTCTGTCACACAGCTTCTTGGCTGGCACAGACCCCAGGATGAAGGCCTTGGCTTTGAAGGGGGTGAGGGTGCCATATCTGTTGCTGGTAGCAGCATTACCTGGTGTGTGCTGGACACCCTGGCAGAGGGTGCATCTCGCACTCAAGCTTTCTCTTGCGGCTTGGAGTGCACACCTCGTCTAGTCTAGCTCCTCTCCCAATGTGGAGTCCCCGCTTTAGCATTGGACCTGACCTGAAAGTGGAGCCCTGCAGGGCTTGACGTTGCTGCCAGGAAGAGGGCTTCGTGCTGGGAGCTCTGGGCTGAGGGGGTGGGAACAGGCATCTGAGGCTGTCCACGCCTGGCAGTGGCCTTTCCTACTGCCCCAGGGCTGCTGGGCCAGTTCCAGCACCTGCAGGTGCTCACTGAGGTCTGTGCTGTGCCCTGTGAGGGGGCTCAGGGCACAGGCAGAAGCCCTGAGCAGGCAGGTGAGGCTGGAGAGAAGGTGAATGCAGCCTCCAGTGTTGCAGGGCAGGGCTGCCGGCGTTGTAGCTGCAGGACAGTTGTGAGCTTGGCTTCTGTGCCTCGTGTAGACATGCTGGCATCTGGGAAAGGTCCCTGCCAGGAGAGGGACAGCACAGCCCTCGGAAATAAGTATGAAACATGAGCCAGACGTGGCAGTGCACACTGGGAGGATCAGAAGTTGGGACCCAGTGTGTGCAGTTTACCAGCTTTGTTTTAAAAGAGGAAATAAATGGGCTGGGAATGTAGCTCAGTGTGAAGCCCTGAGTTTGACCCTCAGTACCACCAAAAGAAAAAAAAAGGAAGATATAAGATACATGACCATAGGACACACAAAGCTCAAAGAGCTTGCTGGTAGAGACTGACCAGGGTACAGTGAGCCAGCTGTGATGCTGCATGCCTGTGATCTATGAGACCTGAGGTGGGAGGATCCCAGTGGTTCCAGTCCTGCCTGGGCCACACAGCGAAACCCTCTCTCCAAAGAACAAAACACAACAAATCAATCTGGGGTGGGGTGAGCTAGCGCCTTATACTACACCCTATGTGGGGGACTGGATCTGAGGGCAGACCCTGCCGGGCAGAAGGTGGGAGAGAGTGGAGCCCCAGGGATCAAGCAGGGCAGAGCCCCCCAGCCCATCTCCGGGTTTTAAATCGGTTTTACCCAATGATAAAAGCTCTGAGAAAATTGGATACTTGACATGAGAAACCCCTTTCCTTTCCTTAGTGTTCTGACCTCACCAAAGCCATGTTTTCCAAGCTGGCCCACGTCCCCAGCCCAGGCAGTCACCGTGACCCATGCCGTCCCCACTGAGTCACGTGCCAGTCAAGGTGGTGGCCTCAGCATGGCGGAGCCCCCAGCCCTGGCAGGGAGCACACCCAACTCCAACTCCAGCTCCAGCCCCCAGGCAGATCCTAGAGAGAAGCCTCAGCAGCTCGTCTGGGCCCCCCTGTTTGACCACCGCAGCGACAAGATCCTGTTTTCGAAGAGTGAGGGTGGCCCTGAGGGGAGCCTGCTCACCGTCACCATCACTGAGACCACCGTCATCGAGTCGGACCTGGGCCTGTGGAGCGGGAGGGCGCTCACCTACCTCACGCTCTGGTTCTTCTTCAGCTTCTGCACGTTGTTCCTCAACAAGTATATCCTGTCGCTGCTGGAGGGCGAGCCCAGCATGCTAGGTGACTGGGCCGGGGGCTGGGGGCAGGGACGGGGCGGGTGGCAGGGACGGGACGTGCGTGCGTCTCCCCAGGCGCCGTGCAGATGCTGTCCACCACACTCATCGGTGGCGCTAAGACCTTCATTCCCTGCTGCCTGCACCAGCACAAACCACGGCTGTCCTACCCACCCAACTTTGTCATGACCATGTTCTTCGTGGGCCTCATGAGGTAGGGTCCCTCGTGCTGCGTCTCCGGAGCCCTCAGTGGTGAGGGCTCTGGACCCATACACCACAGTCACAGCGGCTCTGATTCTGGCCCCAACAGCTTTGGTTTTGGGGCACAGATTCTGTGGGGAGCAGCCTGGGCCCTTCCTGTATGGGGTGGGATGGAGGGTGGTAGGCTCCACCCGGGGCTGGGTCCTGAGGATATGGTCCCCGTTCACAGCCGTTCATCCTAGATCATGTGTCACACCATCTCCTGGGCTCTTGGCAGGTTTGTCACTGTGGTCCTGGGCCTGGTCAGCCTAAAGAACGTGGCAGTGTCATTCGCCGAGACAGTGAAGAGCTCCGCCCCCATCTTCACAGTGATCATGTCGCGCATGATCCTGGGCGAGTACACAGGTGAGTGGGGTTGGCTCTGCTCTCAAACCTCTGCTCCTGGGGCCTCTGTGTCCTGCTGTGCCCTGAGCTTTCCCGTTGGTGGCTCCTGAGGTGGCTGCCTGAGGGTCACCGGGGCAGATGTGGCTTTGCAGCCCAGTGTCCAGCTGTCCCGTGTGGCCCAGGCTCAGAGCAGGGCCGTCTCTTGGCCCAGGCAAGAAAGTGGGTGGGAGCTGGGCCAGCAGGACATCTTTGTGCTGGTCCTGGCCCAGAGGAGATAGGTGACCTCCTGGGCTGTGGGAGGGGCTGCTGGCCTGCTCCATCTTCTTTGTGTCACTGCCTTCTTGGACTGTGTCCCCATCCTCACAGCTCCTCCAAGACTCTCCACCCTCCTGAGATGACAAAGGTCAGATGACCTTAGCAGTGAGTGGTACACCCCACAAGGTGGGGCCCCAGCCCACTTTCCTGTGGGCCTATACATATTTATTTAGAGGTCCCCAGCCCTGCACAAGTAGCTGCATACCCTGGCCTTTTCCAAGGTGCTGCTGAGGCCAGCGAGGTGGGTCTAGGAAGGGAAGAGAGGTCGCCCAGGCAGAGTGAGCAGCCACTGTCTCCAGGCCTCTTGGAGCCACACCCAGGGTATCATGAGGCAGAACCGAAGAGCAAGCCCTAAACTGCAGGGCGGGGCTCTGCTCCTCTAGGACAGGCCCTGTGGACTCCATGACTTGAGCTTTGCATGCCTCAGGATCCACTGGCTCAAGAAGGCTCCTGAGGACCCAGTTTCCACTCTGGGCAGCAGTGTCAAGGGCTGAGGGCAGGGAGCCCCACTGAGGATGGGACTTGGTTCCCCTTGCTAAATGACTGGTAGCGGCAGTGCCACCTGCCACCTAGCACTCATGGAGGAGAGGTTGGCAGATTTTAGCCCATTCTGGGCACTTGAGTGACAGCCAGGCCCAGTCTCAAAAAATCACTGAAGAATGGGCTGAGGATGGAACTCGGTGTGAGGGCCTCGGGTCCAGTTCTCCTTCCCACACACACACATGCATGTTCTCATTTTCTTTGAGTTTCAAAATGAATGCCATCCCCAAATCAAAGGAGCAGCACAGTGCCTGAGTCCCTCTTTCCAAAGTCGTGTGCATGTGAAATGTGATTCTGTTGTGTTGAATGAATTTTTAAAATCAGTTGCATAGACTTTTTATTATTACTCGGAAATAAAGGGCATCGACCCAGTTGGGCCCACCCAGCTGCCAGTGCTGGCTTTAAGTCCTTCTGTCCTTGGCCTCAAACCCCTTGGGGATGTCTCTTCCCACTATGGTGCTGCCAGTGAGGCTCAGCATGGGGAGGGCCCCCTGCAGACAAAGGAGATCTTTGCTTAATTTTCTAGAAATGGGGCCAACAGGTGTTCAATGAAGGTAGAAGTCATGATGTTATGCCTCTTGTCACACGTGTGTCCTGCCCTTGCCAGGGTTGCTGGTCAACCTGTCCCTCCTCCCCGTCATGGGAGGGCTGGCACTGTGCACCGCCACTGAGATCAGCTTCAACATCCTGGGCTTCTCGGCCGCGTTGTCCACCAACATCATGGACTGGTGAGTGGGGGTTGGCGCGGAGGGAGCAGAGGCAGGGACAGGGACTGCGTCTGTGTCCCTGTCTGGATTCATGGGCACTTAGCTCCAGACTGGCCTCGTGAGGCCTGTGACATCCCAGAGTGTCTTTCCCGATCAGTCAGCCGATCTATGCTGATGCCCACGCATGACTTCTTTCTCCAGTTTGCAGAATGTCTTTTCCAAGAAGCTGCTCAGCGGGGACAAGTACCGGTTCTCGTGAGTACTGTACACCCGACTGCCCAGGGCCTGCCAGGCCACCACAGGTCCCAGGGCCTTCAGCACATCCTCCATCCAGACCCAGGGACGTGGGTGCAAGACTGCACATTCCTGCACTACCCTTAGGGCCCTGAGACACCAAGCTCGGTGCCCCTTTCATCTTGGGTAGCCATCGCATCCTTGTCAGTAGGAGGCCATTCGTGTCGTGTCCCGGGGTGGGAGGTCCCCTGGTCCGCTCCCCACGGCTGGTGCAGGAGGTACAGTCTCCTGTCCCCACAGGGCTCCGGAGCTGCAGTTCTATACCAGCGCTGCGGCTGTGGCCATGCTGATCCCCGCCTGGATCTTCTTCATGGTGGGTCCTGGAGCTGCCTAGGATGGGGCGGTGCCCTGGGCCTCCTGGACCTGCACTGCTTGCTGAGATTCCATCTTTTTTTTTTTTGAAACAGGGTTTCACTCTGCAGTTCAGGCTGACCTTGAATTCAATATGTAGTTCAGGCTGGCCTTGAGTACTCCACAACCCTGTGCTTCAGCCTCCTGAGCCCTGGGGTTACAGTGTGGACTAACATACCCAGCTTGCTGAGATTTTCATGTGGCTTTCTTGGTTTGTGCGGTTTAGTTTTCACTGAGAAAATACCGTGTGGGTGCTGCATGAGGCAGTGATCCTGTACGTGATCGAGTTGGCCATGTACCTGCTGTGGCCCTTCTGTTCGTGGCCCGAGTGTGCTGTGACTCCTCAGGGTGTGGATGTGTGCACTGCGCCCAACATAGTGATGCCCAGCTGGCTGCTGGGGCACTGCTTGCTCCTCGGCTGCACCGGAGGAGAAGCCACTCATGTCTGTGCCTGGCAACTGGCCTGTTCCTCTGGGAGGCTTTCCCGGAATGAGAGCTTTGGGGGTCACACATATGATTTTCATAACATATGGAGTAAAGCTTACCTTTTTTCCCTTTTTGCAGCACTAGGGGTTGAACATACAGCCTACACACTTGGTTATGTCCCCAGCTCTTTTTAAATTTTCTGTTTTGAGAAAAGGTCCCACTAAGCCACTAGGTTTCTTAGGCAGCACTCAAACTTGAGATCCTCCTGCCTTAGTCTCCCAGAGTACTGGAATTGCAGGTGTGAAAACTTTTGCCTTTGTGTGGGTAAGCCAGCACTAGGGAGGCTGAGGCAGGAAGATCACTGTGAGTTTGAGGCCAGCCTGGGCTCCACAGTGAGCTCAAGCCCAGCCTGAACTGCATAGCAAAACCTTGTCTCAAAAGAATAAAAAAAAGGAATGATAAAAGAAAGTCCTGGTCACGGTAGTCCAGCTGCTCCCCGATGGACTGTGGGCATCTTCCCTGACCTGGCACCAGTGACGTCCTTCCATGCCAGGAGGCCCAAATGAGGCAGTGCCCACAGAATGCCCTCTGTTTTGCAGGACATGCCTGTGATTGGCAGGAGTGAGAGGAGCTTCCGCTACAGCCAGGATGTGGTGTTGCTGCTGCTGATGGATGGCGCTCTGTTCCACCTGCAGAGTGTCACCGCATACGCCCTCATGGGCAAGATCTCCCCAGTGACCTTCAGGTGCGTGGGCTCTGGGGGCACAGGCTCCGGGTGGTTTCAGGAAAGCCTGACCGGGTGAACTCAAAGGGTATCTGGGCTTCTCGTCCATTGGTGGGAATGGTTGCACACAGCCTCTGGCTGCTCAGTGCCAGCACTGAGTGAAGTGCGTGTCCAGGAGGTTTCTGCTTAAAGTCTTTGATGTCGCTTATGTTCTTCTGTCCAACATGGCGCTGTGCACATGGCTGCCATCTAGTGCCAGCACGAGGTTGTGGGTGGAGCAGAGGAACAAAGTGCTTGCTTTCTGGGTTTTGCCTTTCACCCAGGGTGCCACATACCTGGGGTTTACCTTCAGATGCTCAGGGTAACTGAGCAGTCCTGGCCTCTGCCCTGCCCTGGATAGATGTGGTGGCCGTGCAGCTGAGATACGAGTGTTCCCAGCAGCAGACAGACAGGAACGAGTCCATGTCCCTGGCGCTGGCCTTAGCAGTGGATTTGTGCATCCTGTGGTTGGCCACCTCAAGTGTCTGCCTTGTTGCTCACCTCTGAGTGGCTCTGGAGCCAGCCTGGTACCTGAGTGAGGACAGAAGCATCTGTGACCGAGTCACATGCAGTGGGCCATGCACGGGTCTCTCGCCTGCTTCTTGGTTTGGGGCTTTTTATTTTTCTGAGACAGGATCTCAGCATGTAGCCCAGGTTGGCCTTAAGCTCCTGGTGATCCTCCTAGCCCAGCCTCTCCAGAGCTGGGCTCATGGTGTATAGCACCATACCAGTGCACATGGCTGCCATCCAGTGCCAGCACAAGGTTGCGGGCAGAGCAGAGGAGCAGAGCACTTGTTTTCTGGATTTTGCTGTTCTCTGTTTTTCTGCCACTTCTGGACCCCAGATGTGGGTCCAGGTCAGTGCAGCAAATTCTCATGTTCCTCTGAGTTCTCTCTGTTTCTCTTTTTTTTGTTTGGCACTGGGAATTGAACTCAGGACCTCACACTTGCCAGGCACTGTGCTGCTGGGCTATTTTCCCAGTCCTTTTTTTTTCCTTTAAGATAGGATCTTGCTCTGTAATTCAGGCTGGCCTTGTACTCACTATATAACACAGGCTGGTCTTGAACTCACAGTGATCCTCCTGTCTCAGCCCCCCAAGTGCTGGAATTGCAGGTGTGTGCCACCACACCCAGGAGCCCTGTGAGCTCTCTTAGAGACAAAGTTCCACTATGTCATCCAGGCTGGCCTCCAATTCATGATCCTCCCGCTTCAGTCTCCTGATGCCAGCCTGCCACACCACCTGCCACTGAGCCCTGTACCTGTGCAGTACAACAGGTGACATTTAGTGGGGAAGTGTCAGGAAGGAAACCACAAGTTCAAATGTTCCTGAAACTGAAGTTTTTTAGTATTGATGATAGTTTTTTTTGTTTTTTTTTTTTTTTTTAAATCAGGAATTTAGCTCAGCAGCATAGGACCTCTCTGGCAAGGGTGAGGTCTGGAGTTTGATTCCTGGTACCAAAAAAAAGAAAAAAAAATTTAAAAATCAGAAAACCAATGTCTTTCAAGCATGGTTTTCCTCAGGGTGTAAGAGAATGAGCAACTGAGGTCCTCCTTCAGGACCCAAGGGTGGTTGGTTCTCAGGCAGGAGCAGAGCCCAAAGTTCACACCTAAGCACTGCCCATTCCGGGGAGGGCTCAGTTTCACAGAACTGAGGGTGTTCTCCGCTAGCTACTCAGGTACTCCCCAGATGTGAGCAATGAGCATGTACGGAAACACAGGTCAGGGTATCTCATTTAGGAAGTGTGGCGTTCAATATCCACATGATTAGAAACAAAGTACCCACCTGATACTATTTGCTAGTCTTGAGAACTGAGCCCAGGAGCTTTGTGCTGAGCTGTACCCTCAGGCCTTTTTTATTTTTTATTTTCAGACAGGGTCTTGAGAAGTCGTTAAGTTGCCCAGAGCGGGCTTGAACTTGTGATTCTCCTGCCTTAGCCTCCCAGAGTATTGGAATGACAGGCATGGGTCACCTCACCCAGCTAAGGTGGTTTTTTTTCTTAGGGACTTTTCACTTTTTGGAGAGAAGGCTGAAGTCAAGTGTTTTAGTCTAAAGAAAAAATGAAGCACTGAGGCCAGCCAGCGGGTCGGTTGTTTATTCCCTGCAGTGTTTGCATAACAAAAAGCGTCTTTGGAGAAAGCCAGAGGGAAGTGGGGTCCCAAAGCCCTCCCCCAGTCCCTGGGGCTGGGTGTACTGCCAGGCCCGAGGTCACTGTGCCCCCGCCCTGTCTGCAGTGTGGCCAGCACGGTGAAGCATGCCTTGTCCATCTGGCTCAGCATCATTGTTTTCGGCAACAAGATCACCAGCCTGTCTGCCATCGGCACCATCCTGGTGACAGTGGGCGTCCTGTTCTATAACAAGGCCCGGCAGCGCCAGCAGGAGGCAATGCAGAGCCTGGCTGTGGTCACCAGCGAGGCCCCAGAGGATGACGAGGAGCCACTGCTTCCTCAAGACACAAGGCAGCACCACTGACCTGGGCCCTGGACTCTGCTGGGGGTGGATGCAATGTCTGTGGGTGACTGCTGGGCTCAGTGCCAACTGGGGTGCTCCCTGCTGGGTGCCCACAAGGAAATCCTTAGCTCCCTCACACCAGCCACCACAGGCATCCAAGCTGCTTGGTCTGCACCCGCACCTGGGTACCCACACAGTGTCTACCTGTGGGCTCTGGTGTGGGACCCAGTGCCTGTGGCCCCAGGAATGGGGTCCACACAGCTTGAGAAATGGCCTGGAAACCAGGGACCCTCACATTGAGGGCGGGGCTCAGATCCCCCTTGCCCCAGGCCAGGTCAAGGTCCTTGGGGCCACACCACCAGTGATACCCTGTCGACGGGGCCCCCAGCACCTGTGGCCTGCCCTTCACCAGGGCAGGTGCTACCTGCTGGGTGCTGACCAGTCTCTGCCATTGGCTCCCCTGCACAGACCCCATGGCGGGAAGCTGGATGTACCCATGGGGCTCCTCACTGCCCAGACCTCATGGGCAGCTTGTCTTGCAGGTGACAACTTGAAAGAGCTTCATTTTGGTTTTTTGTTCATTATTTTTGAGACAGGGTCTCATTAGGTAGCACAGGCTGGCCTTGAACCTGCAGCGATACTCCCCCCCTCGGCTCCCTGAGTGCTGGGGTCACAGGCCTGTGTCGCCCCACCTCACATCACTGACAGTGACACTGCATTTTGATGAAGTGAGCATCCATGCAAACAGTCTCTGAGTATTACAGGTGTCAGCCATCCGCATGATGAGCCTGTCTGTTCATCCCATGCCTGGGACCCTGATACCACTGCCAATGGCACCCCCTCTAGGGCTCAGGACCTTGTAAAGGGGTATCAAGCACCTTGCACATAGGCCACACCAGGCCAACCTTCTCCAGTGTCTCTGGCCCTTCTTCAGAGTACCTGTGTGCCACAGCCCCCACTCTGGTCCCCATGTACCAGCTCTGCAGCAGCCACCATTGCATCACTGGCTTTCCAGTTGGCTTCTCACTTGGAAAATACGAAATAGTCCATCCTAGAGACAAAGCTCACAGAAACCAAGAGCAATAAGAACCTTGTGTTCCATCTATGTGAAAAAGCCAGCTGTGCCCAAGGGCTGAAAGGAGACCTCATAGCTGGCAGCTGCTTCCCAGGACATAGCCTCCTAGGCATTGCATAGGCCTGCTGTGGGTGCCTGTGCCACCAGGTCCCCTGCACTGCGGGGTACTTGTCTCAAATGGCTTTGTCCAGGTTTCTTTTTCTTCCTCCTGCTCCCCAGAAACTAAAGAAAATGCAGTGGGTGGTCAGGTGGCAGGGCACAGTCAGTCTGTGTTGGCCCTGTTTGGCCGAGAGCGTGGTTGTCATGCGTGGGCTGTGAGAACATGGTGGCTTGGTCTTGAGGCCTGTCCATAGCTCAGCTTCCCGGTATTCTTTGACCTTTGCTTCTATGTGGGATCAGGAAGCAGCTGCTGTGACGTGCTCTCCCTCCTGCCTCATAGTTGGCTTGAAGCCTCTTATGGTTTAGTAAATGTGTGGACCAGAAACAAAAGAAAGATTTTCCAAAATGAATAACAAGTGAGGTAATTTCCAGTAAAGCACCCTCTGAGCCTTTCCCTTGTCCTGGGCAGATAGACCACTAGCTTGTGCTGTGCCCAGCACAGTGCCCTGGCCCACCCCACTTATTTCCCCTTGGCCCAACTGCACACCACATATGCCAGGCCCAGCCTCGCTGTGTGTGCATTCCACAACAGCCCAGCCCTGAGCCAGCCGGCCAGCTTGGTCATGGCTTATGGTGGTGCAGTGGCAGTCTTGTTTATTAACTTGGTCTCCTCTTTTTATAGGATGGTCTCCAGTAAGCCAATACAGGCGTGCATGTAGAAACACTGGCACTGGGTGTCCTTGCTTCCATAGGGTGTATCCCACCTGTGTCCCTGTGGTGGTCTGTGCACAGCTCCCTGGAAGGACCTGAGTTGGGGGACCTGCTTCCTTAACCCCTGTGCTTGGAGATGAAGAGATTTCTAATTTCAGAAACTTCCTGTGGCTCCCGTTGGAGTGCAGTGGTAGAGCTCTTGCCTAGCATCACAACCCCAGTTCCATCCCTGACACAGAAAACAAAATCAAAAACCTTCTACCACTGAGCAGCAGCAAAACCTTTAAAACCTGACAGCCATAATTTCCTGTATATCAGCATTCAAATAATTGCTGGCTGGAACATTAGAATTCTCTTGCACAATCCCAAATGTGTCTTTAATTTGAAGACAAACAGTGAATCAGAGGCAATTTTTTAAAAGCTGTACAAAGAATATAAACCAAGTAGAGTTCTGTTTTATAGTGTGCTTTTAAAACATTTGTCAAATTGGTGGCAATTTGCTTTTCTGATGGTCACTTACACAGGTCATTGTGGATCATACATAGACAACACAGCTTTTCACATCCAGCTAAGCGACAGTATCCTAAGGCCTTGAAAGTATTTGTACCATTGTGGGGAAAAATTAACAGGGATGTTACTATAAATAGACAACCTCTCTAACTATTTTGCTTTGACCAACATTCCATTCGGGGCTTGGCCTAATTGGAACTTTCCACTTTTTCTTTTTCGTGGTACTGAGGACCAAATCCAGTGGCTCATACATGCTAGATAACGACTCTACCACTGCTTTTTTCCCCCAGTACCAGGGATTGAACCCAAGGTCCTTGAGCTAAGCTATGTCCGTTTTTTTTTGTTTTTTTTTTTTGTTTTTTTTTTCCTTCTGAGACAGGGTCTTGCTAAACTGTCCCAAGTGGAGCTCAAGCTTGCAATCTTTCTGCTTCAGCCTCTCTCAGTGCTAGAATTATAAGCTTGTGTCACTACTTCTGGCTTACCAGCAGATTTTATTAGTCTTTAAATAATGCACTCTGATGAATTAGGGTGCATCGTTCTCCCCTAGACAACGGAGCAGATGGTTGAAGTCCTGCTGACTGTGGGTTGGCTCCTCCCTCTGAAGTTCAGAGTGGGAAACTAACTTTGCAGGTTCTGAAGTATTTCATCTGGGTTTCTTGGGGTATGTGCTTCTGAACATACTGCTGGACGGCTCCTCAGCTTGTCAGATGACCAAATTCAGTTCAAAATTGTTCGAACTTGCCTGTTGTTTTTGGTTTTGTTTTGTTTTTTTGTATCAGGGATCAAACTCATGAGCTAGCACTTGCCAGACAGGCACTGTGCAGCTAAGCTATATTCCCAGCCCCTTGCCACCTTATTTGCCCTTTTTGTTTTCAGTTTTCATTTCTTGAAGAATGCATTCCATTCATCTGCAGTTTCTGGGCTGTTTGCCAATATATTTGTGAGTCTGTACCTGCCCAAGAGGTTTGTAGATACCACTTATAGGAGCTAAAACCTGGTTGCATTCCTGCCTTGGGAAACTTGAAAATCTTACCAATAAAAATGCATCAGAGCCAAATCATATTTGCTTTATGTCAAACCTGTGGAGAACTAAAAATGCATCACAGAATGTTTGTAGTGTTTTGTATGTCCTGTTTCAGTATTGACATAAATAGATTAATGCTCTTAGAAAATGTTTCTGTGATTTGTACTGTGGTAATAAATTTCTACTGTCATTAATCCTGTAATGGTTCCTGGTTGTTTTTGTCTAAAGCAGCCATAGTAGCAAGTGTCAATAATCCTTATTCTGAAAAGGTGAAGTAAATGTTAGTGCTTCTTACTTTTCCTTTTTGTGTAACTCTCACATTTATGGTACTGAACTGGCCAAGATGGGATTTCTTATTGCCTGCATAAGATTCCATTGTGAAATGAGGGGGAAAAAGGCTTCCCCAAGTAACTGAAAATTCAGGAAGCAGAGTAAAAGCTGGGGCACAAAAAGTAACCCATTTCCTTCTGAGAGGAGGAGTTTCCAGTGCCTCTCATCCTTCCCCACGATAGTCTTTGCCTGTGTGGGGTACTTACTTGGGTTTGAACCCATGGTCACTCTACCACTGAACTATATCTTCAGTTTTTTAAATTTTTATTTATTTTTTATGTTAGGGTCTCACTATACAGTCCAGGATGGCCTCAAACTCACAATGATCCTACTGATCCTCTTGCCTCAGCCACCGAAGTGCTGGGATCACAGCCGTGTGCCACCAAGCCCAGCTAGGTTTACTGTTCTAAAAAGAACCCATAGGATAACTCAACATAGACATGTGGAAGATGCATTTTCATTTGGTCACCGGGTTGTGTGTGTTCTATTTCTGTAGCTTGCCATACTGCTGAGACTCAAATCTCTGTGGGTAAGTTTTCAGGAACCACTGCCATCCTACCTGCTTTAAAATTGCATTATAAGTTCCACCTGCCTTGGTTTTTGTATAGGTCACAAAATTACAAAAGGTTTACAAGTCTTAATTGGTTTTGTAGTTCTGCAATTGGAACACAAATAGAACCAATGGTCTCATGAAGCAGGCAGAGAAAGTTGGTTTTACAGACAGAAGAGCTCAGCAAAGCTGAAACAATAAAAAGTGATAGGTCGTTTCGAAGTTATTTCCCTTGTGCAGGTTGAGACAGGAGCCTTCCTCCTCATGCTAGATATAACTAGCCTACTTGAAGATATGTCATCTCGCTCTCAGGTCTTGGAAAAGTTAGAAAAACAACATAGTTCCCACTTAGTTGCTTGGAACTTCAGCACGAATGAATTCTGCTCTGGTCCAGTCCGCTAGCCGAGGGCAGGCTCGGCCCAAAGCAATGGGCTCTGGACACCTAACACGTAGACCCAGGTGAGGGGCTGTAAGACGCAAGACGTTCCTCTCTTCATCTGGAAACTAGAGCTCAAGGGAGCATGGATGGGGCTCAAGACCAAGCCAAGGGCTCTGCTGACCCGGGGAGCCTGGGGACCGCACCTGGGCGGGAGGGGGTCGGGCTCAGGCCCGGGCCGACCGCGGCGCCAGAAGAGTTTGCCTCTGTACCGGTGGCCGCTGACTTCCGTGAGGGCCTCAGAAACAATACTCCCTGGGCTCTTGCGTCACAAACTGAGAGGCTCGCCAGACGCTGCTGCTCCTAGTCTCGGTTCTGGAGTCATCCACCAGCATCATTCCCGGAAGTGACGACATACAGAGGCCAGGGCGCAGAGGTTTGTCCAATAGTGGATTGGAACTCCCGCCCCATCGCTCTTAGATCATCAATCAGCGCCGCTTCCGGAAGTGACGACACCTTGGTGGGTAACAGGAGTTGATGCTTTGAGTCCCAGAGTGGAGATTCAGAACCGTGTCGCGTTTGGGCGTCATCAGTCCGCGTCGCCGCAGGAAGTGACAGACGCTCCTGGCGCGCGCCGGGCGCTGTTTCTTCTCAGGTTCGGGGACCGACGGCGGCGGCGGCAGCGGCGCAGGGGTGAGTGGCAGCCGGGAGGCCTGGGCGGGGAGCGCCGGGCGAAGGCGGCCTTGAGGGCTCGGGTCCGAGCAGGCCTCAGGGCGGAGGCGGCCGTGGGTGCGAGCGAGCGGCGCCCCAGCTCCCGCGTACAGTCTTACTCCGCGGGGAGCTTCGGGTGGAGGAGGTGGGGGGCCAGCGCGCTCTCTGTAGCCAACCCCTGCGGTGCTGAGCTTCACGTTTGCGTGACTGAATCTAAGGAAGTAGGAGCCCCGCGCCCGCGTCAGGTAGCCTTGTTGACGCGCGCGCCCCAGATCGCTGTACCCCTGACGGAGGGTACACCCGTCCGGCGACCAGTGGTTCTACTTGGCCCAAGTGCTCTTTCGATACCTTGTTTTGTCATCAGAGGCGGTGCCGGGTGGGTGCCGGGCACTGAGCTAAGGATTATTTCCTGGGCCATTAGGTACGTGTTCCGCCCGTTTTATGGAAAAGTGTACAAAGGCCAACAAAGTTGCGCGACTTTACAAAAGTGACAGGAAACCGATGAGATCCCAGCAGTTCCTTCTTAGAGCGCTGCCTTCTTCGGAGGACTTATTCTGAAACACTCAAAAGTGACTGGGGTTGAGCGTTCAGAGACTATGACGCATCAGCCACAGGTGGGATTCCCGAGGTTGCTTGAATTTTTTTCTTTTTGCAGTGTTTTAACTCAAATGGGTGATGAAAAGGACTCTTGGAAAGTGAAAACTTTAGATGAAATTCTCCAGGAAAAGAAACGAAGGAAGGAACAAGAGGAAAAAGCAGAGATAAAACGCTTAAAAAATGTAAGCTGTGTTTTTAAGTAAGTTGTTTTCTTAAAGGAGATTTAATTTCTTTGCCCTCATTTTTCCATTAGAACAACGCTTCTTCGATGAAGTTCTTTTGTACTTCCAAATGTCACAGGTGAGCCCAAAATCTATTCTAGAAATTAACAAAGACGTTGACATACTCAGTTTACACTGAAGGCAGATTGATAACACCTTGAAACTGTGTCTAGATGTGACTGTCTACCTGGAGAATAAAATGTTCTGAAACTAGAATCATTAGTACAACTTGACTAAGTTTTCTCATTTCATTGTCAATGTATGCATAATGTATTTCCAAGTATTATTAACATAGTGAGAACTTGCCTTAAAATTAATATCGATGAAAGAAAAAATTAATGAGTTTTCTATCTTTCTTGGTTTAGATAATAACAAACTCAAAAGTTTTTAGTAATTTATTAAAACATATTAGTATCATTACTTCTGGTAAAATTAGGAATCATTTTGAGGTATTTATCAGTATCATTTAAGGTACTGAAAAGTATTTGGTGTGTAAAATACAGCTTAAGCCTCAGTTTTAGCCCATAGCAACTAACATAATGAGCGTAAAATCTGATGTCCCTTCTCATAAATCCTGATTTTAAACTTTCCATCAGATTCTGTGTTACAGAGTTATAATTTTAATGTTGTAGGATTTGAATACAATTTTTTTATATCCTGTAACATTTGCTTGTTCTAAGTATCAGTGGAAGTTTGTTTTGGGTTGTCAGGAAAGTTTGGTTATCATTTAAAAATCTGTCTATATAGGGGCTGGGGATTTAGCTCAGCGGCATAAGCACCTGCCTTCTAAGCAGGCAGTCGTAAGTTCGATCCCTGGTACTGATAAAAATGAAAAAGACAAAAAAAAAAAAAAAAAAAAAAAATCTGTCTATATGAGCCGGGCGAGGTGGCTCACACCTGTAATCCCAGCACTTGGGAGGCTGAGGCAGGAGGATCATTGAGAGTTCGAGACCAGCCTGGGCTATAAAGTGAGTTCAAGGCCAGCCTGAACTGCATAGAGACCCTGTCTCAAAAAGACCAAAAAAAAAAAAAAAAAATCTGTGTGTTTGAGCTGAGCATGGTGGCATATGCCTGTAATACCAGCACTTGGGAAGCTGAGGCAGGAGGATTATTGCGATTTTGAAACCAGTTTGCGCTACAAAGTGAGCTCAAGGCCAGCCTGATCTACATAGTCTCAAAAAGACCCCCCTCCCCAGTCTATCTGTAAGGAAAGTGACACATTTTTCTTTGCTTTCTAGTCTGATGACCGGGACTCCAAGCGGGATTCCCTTGAGGAGGGGGAGCTGAGAGATCACCGCATGGAGATCACAATCAGGAATTCACCATACAGAAGAGAGGACTCTATGGAAGACAGGTGAGAAAATGTACCATGTGATGAAGAGAAGGATATGCAAAGAGACCAAGGAGCACCCTCCACAGCCCAGGGTGTGGCTGGCCTTCACAGTTACTGATCTGAAACCAAGTTTGCCTAACCAATGAGGTTGTCTATGTTCTTAGTTATCACTTCACACCTCCTGAAAAGACTGTTCAAGGAGTGTTCCCTTCCGTCTGATGCTTCTCCAGTCAAGTGCACACCCTTTAGATAATACATTTAAATGAAATGTTCACCCTATGTTGCAAGTCTAAGGTTTTATACACTCCAATGTAGAGCGGGGCCACTAACAGTAACATTCACATTAAGAGCCAAATGCTCTATTTGTTCCTGAGCTGATATGTCTCATTTTTGGTTTTTCATATCATGAGATAATTAAGGAAATACCACCATAAATTAAGATTGAGAGCCAGGCATTATGGCACACTCCTGTAATCCCAGCACTCAGGAAGCTGAGGCAGGAGGATAGTTGCAAGTTCGAGACCAGCTTGAGCTATATAGAGAGCGAAAGGCCAGCCTGAACTGCATAGCAAGGCCCAGTCTCAAAAGGACAAAACAAACAAAAACAAGGTTGAGTGCTTATCCTGGGCACTCATGAGTGTGAATTTTCCAAGATTTTGATGATATAGAATCAGTTGAAGATACTGTTAAATGAATTTTTTAGATCATTAAATAGATTGATAAAATTTGGGGCCTTTTTAACCATTTGTTGACTTATAAACTGTCAAACTACATATATTGAAAGTATGCAGTTTGATAAATTTTTACCTACCAGCAAATGCATCACCATAATCAAGATACTGAACATGCCCCTCCTCCCTTATAAAAAGTATTTTTATTCCACATATGACAATGATGCTCACACTTTTCATCTTAGTCTTAAAATGGCTTACATTTTAGAATTAACATAACTATGGGGTTTTTCTCTTATTTTTGTTATTTTCACTTACATTTCTTTCAATAAGCCTTTTTAAATGATGATTCAAGTTCACCTTTTTTTGTTGTTGTGTTTTTGTTCATCTTTATGTCATTGTGAACGCTGTTTTTTCCTGTGCTGGAGAAACTCTGTGATATTCTGTTTTTCTATGCATTTCCCCAGGATGATGAGATGTGTTATATTTTATTTCAGAGGAGAGGAAGATGATTCTCTGGCTATCAAACCACCTCAGCAAATGTCTCGGAAAGAAAAGAACCATCACAGGAAAGATGAAAAGAGAAAAGAGAAGCGTAGGCATCGTAGCCATTCAGCAGAAGGGGGTAAGGAAGTCTTTGTTTTCTTTGATGTCATTATTGTACCCTTGGTGATCTTTCTTCTCCAGAAGCATAGCTGAGAGAAGAAATGAAAATTATAGCTAAAAGTGTGATTTCTTGATCATTTGAGTTAATTATATTATCTTCCTTTCTGTGTTTTCCCCTCATTTTGTTTTAGAATAGTTTGTTTACACATTAAACTAACATAAGTGTGTAAGTATAGCAAAAATACCCCATCAAAAATGGGTGTTTTGTCAAGTCCAATTTAATGGCTTAAAGAGAGGTTTGATTAGCTTAAAAAGAGGTTTGATTTCATGCCAGTACAGCAAGCTCTTGGGAGCCAGGTCTGGAGGCACACATCTGCAGTCCCAGCACTGTGAGTCTGAGGGAGGGAGATTGTAAGTTTAATCCTAACCTGGGCGATTTAGGGAGACCCTGTCACAAAAAGCACTATGGGAAAAGATAATGTAAAAAAAGGTTCTTATTGGTACTGGGAAAATAAGCTCTGGGGCTTGGTTTACATCTCATTATTATAAATGCAGTTAATTAAATAGCTTTCTCTTGGTTTTTGTTTTCTTTTTTGCACAGTTCTAGTGATTGAACCTTGAGCTGTTTGGTCCTTAGAGTCTTAACTTTGAGCTACATCCCCAGCCTTTTTTGTTATTGATTTTGAGACACAGTCTCTCCATGGCCCAGGAGGGGTTCAAACTTAATGGTCTTGCCTCAGCCTCCCCAAGTCCTTGGATTACAGATGTGGGTTACCATTTCTGGGGCTTTTTTGTTTTTTGTGACTGTTCTCATCAACTGTGAAACTATTGCATCATACTTTATTTAAAATAGATAAAAAGATGAAAATTACAATTCTGTTTAGTGATAACAACAATGTTTTCATATTTGGAATCTTATTACATGTGGTTTTTGGTTTTTGTTGTTGTTGTTGTTGTTTGTCTTTTTTATCGGTACCGGGGATCGAACTCACGACTGCCTGCTTGCAAGGCAGGCGCTTATGCCGCTGAGCTAAATCCCCAGCCCCTACATATGGTTTTATATATCTTCTTCTTTTTAAAAAAATTTGAGTTTGACTTTAAAGAACCAAACATGAAAGTAAATCTTTATTTTCAGTTATCACCCACCAGTGAGAAAATTAGGCTCATTATTTAGCTCCTGACACAGTGAACGAGGAGGCAAACTGGTATCCACAAATTCAGCCCAGGGCCCTTGTTCCTCAAGTGCAGGTGGTCTTGGAAGCTTGCTGTGTAGTAGCCGTTGCTGTGGTTCTCTAGAGACTAGCTGACATTGAGTGGAATTTCTGAAGAATTTTCATTTCTATCTACTTGTTTGTTTGATTTGCTTATTTATTTATTTTTGTGAAGTGTTAATAGCAAGTGTTTTCTATAGTGTGTTGCCTGAAACCAAGAGGTGTGGAAATGCGCTACATGTTAGCAAGTTAGGGACTTGAGAGAAATTGCTATTTCTCCGCTGTGTGCGTCCCTTTGCTTAATGCTGAAGCTCTCAGCAGTGAGGCTCCGTGCCTGACTCTTGTCACTGCTCCTCAGGGAAGCACGCCCGAGTGAAGGAGAAGGAAAGAGAACATGAACGTCGGAAACGCCACCGAGAGGAGCAGGACAAAGCCCGCCGGGAGTGGGAGCGACAGAAGCGGCGGGAGATGGCACGGGAGCACTCGAGGAGAGAGCGGTGAGGCCCAGCCCTGCATTGAATGGGTGGGAATTAGTGTGACAGAGCAGGCTTGGTGCCCAGGTGTGGATGGAGGCGTTCCAGGACTGGGATGCTGGGGCTGTTATTAGGAGGGCTGGCCCAGAGTAGAGGACTTTTACTGTGCCTGGCAGATGGGTGAGTGACTGGGCAGCAGAGGTCGCTCAGATTCCATGTCGGTGCCCGCCCATTGGAGGAGCTAAAATCAGGGCCAGCATGCGCTTGGTGTGATCGCTTGGAGGCAAATCCAACAGGCCACGGGATGGCAGAGGCCAGAAATGGCCTCAGAACCTCGGACCTGGCACCTAGAGAGGTCAGGCTCCTCTTTGCAAGAGCCATGAGGGCTGTGGTGTTCAGCAGTGAGCCATTCTCAGACTCCTGAAGAGTCAGCCAAGACCATACATGTGAATCCTGACGCAGAAGCAGGGCTACAGGTGGTCTGGGTGGGACAAATTCAGCACCTGCCCAGCTCCAGGGGAAACAGATTGCTTTAGGTCACGTTTCTGGTCATACCAGAAATAGGCTCCACTTCTTTCAAACAAAAATGAGCAGGAAAATGAGATGAGACCGCCAAGGCCTTGGAAGAGTCTGCACTTTCTCAGCGCAGACTTGCTGGGGAGGGTGTGAGTTCAGCGAGTTCCATGGTCTGCAGCCCAGCGGGGTCCTATGCAAGGGTTGCCTCTGTGTGTTGGGGTCACGTCTAGGGAGGGTGGGGAGCTGGCCTGCTGGGTGAACACAGGTGTCTGGAGCTCTGAACAGTGTGGAGTCTGCCATCCTGAGTACTGTGACCATCGAGGTGGGGCAAGAGGGAACCACTAAGTCCCAGTGGCCCTGCGCTCAGGTCCTGTTGGCGAGCACTGTCAGGCCCTTTGGCCCGGGCCCCCATGGTGTGCACAGGATGGGGGCAGAAGTCGGTGGATGGAGCCAGCTTCTCTGTGGCCGCCTGGAAGGCAAAGCAGAGGTGGGGGCAGAGGCCAGTGTGGGCTAAGCTTCCATGACAGCAGATGTGAAGCCAGACAGATGGACAGACACAGCTCAGTTTGTTATCGGGAAACTGCAGCACTATTGTGAGCATAGCAGCAAGGGGCTGTGGCCTGGGAATTGTTTGGTCTCTTAAGTGTCCCGCAGCTCCCTGCCGTTCCGCTGTCTCAGTGGATGTGGCTTCTCTGTGGGCTCTGTTAGCATGAAGTCCAGCCACCATGGGAGTGCATGGCAGACATGTGAGCTGCCATCCAGGCCACCCCAGGGGCCTGCTTGAGGGGCCAGGTCCCCAGCAGCCGGAACTTGGCGTGTGCTGTGCTGTGCACACTGGCGTCACAGGGAGGCTGCCCCGGCCTGAGGAGTCAGTGATCCCATGAAGGTGGAAACCACAATGTACTGTGGGTGGCTGGGGTCCCAGGAGAGAAGAATGGAAACAGCGGCAGAAAACCTCCCAGATCTGATGACCACAGCCATCTATTCACCTTTGCAGCAGAGACCTGGAGTCTCCTCGTTACTGGGAACAGCTCAGCCACCGCATCCAGGGCGCAGCGCACAGGGCTTTGTGCCTACAGCTTGGTGCCACAGCTGTGTGGAGCTGGCACAGACAGAAGATGGGCGGCTGGAGCAGGACCACTCCTGCACTTCAGCACTTTCTGTTTTTTTGCAGTCCTGGAGGTGAAACCCTGGGGTGTTGCCCCTAAACTGCATTCCGCAATTTTTATTGTGAGACTATCTTGCTGAGGGCTCCAAACTGCAGTCCTCACACAGCCTCCAGGGCAGCTGGGGTTCCATGTATGTGCCATGGACCTAGCTCATTAATACTAATCTTACTGGGTGGGTATCGCACTTTCTAGAGCAGTCACTAAGAAAACACATTTTAAAACAGTGCACAAGGCTGGGGATTTAGCTTAGTAGCATAAGTGCCTGCCTGGCAAGCGTGAGGTCATGAGTTCGATCCTTGGTACCAAAAAAAAAAAGTGCACATAAAAAAAAAAAAATAGTACACCTAACAGGAGTTAAAATGGTACGCTAGGTATACATATTTAAAGTAAAAAGTTGGAACTCACTTCGACATGGGACTCTCAGATCCCATAATGCTTGATGCGGATCCCCAACGAGACTCCACATATTCTGCGTCAGTGCAGTGCTGTGACCTGGCTCACATCACCCTGCGCTCCTTCCAGGGTAGCTCATACTGCAACTTTCAGATGCTGTCAGGCTCTGGCATGGGAATGTTGGCATGATCTGGCTGTCTGCACTTCTGGGATGGAGCCAGCTGCATGATTATCTGCAGCGTGTCTGCTGTTTCTAGGCAGCTCGCCCTTGTTCCGTGTAAGACTATACTGTCCAGTCTGACTGGGCCACTTGCACAGATGTCAGCTAAGAAGGGCCCACCCCCTTTCCCTGAGCACCTATCCTCTTCGTGACAGTGCCGCACTTGGCCATCATTTTGGTTTTGTTTTGTTTTATGAGACAGGGTCTTGGTGTGTAGTTGAGGCTGACCTATAACTCACTATATCGCCCAGGCTGGCCTTAAACTCATGTCAGGCCTCCTGCCTCAGCTTCCTGAGTGCTGGAATAACAGACATGTGCCATCATGCCCAGTGAATTTCTGTTTTTTGAGCCAGGGTCACATTGTGTACCCTGGGCTGGGCTCAAATTCATGATCCTCCTGTCTCAGCCTGCAGAGTGCTAGAGTCACAGCTGTGCACCACCACGCCTAGATCAGATTAGCCGCTTTTAAGATGGGTTCTTGCTTGAACACAGAGGTGCATGCCAGGTGTGATAGCGTTCCCAGCTGAGCAGAGCAGGTTGTCTGCTTCACTCTGCATCCTGCAGCCTGTGGAGGCCTGGGCGCACGTCCTTACCTAGGAAGCTTTGGCAGAGTGGCGGCCTCAGGTCATTTCCAAGCTGCCTGAGGACCTGGGAAGGGAGGCCGTGGCATTGGTGAGGATGATGGCTGGCACTTGCTTCTTCCAGGGACCGCCTGGAGCAGTTAGAGAGGAAACGGGAGCGAGAGCGCAAGATGAGGGAGCAGCAGAAGGAGCAGCGGGAGCAGAAGGAGCGGGAGCGGAGGGCGGAGGAGCGGCGCAAGGAGCGCGAGGCCCGCAGGGAAGGTACGCGGCGCCAGCAGGCCCTGCTCTGCTGTGCCGTGCTGCTGCATCGTGCCAGGCACACGCCCACAGGAGCCCTGCCACTCGGCCCTGTGCTCTGCCTCTGGCTCTTCCTTTCTTCCTTTGTACAAAAACTATGGCAAGCTGCACCTGGCATAAATCTCCTGTCTCCACACTTTCAAGTGTGCGCAGAGTGGCATCCAGTACACGTTGTCACACAGCTGTGTGCACGTTGACTCCACAAGTCCTCTCATCCTGTGAAACTGAAAACAGTGCTCCTTAGACTCCCAATCCCTTTCTTATTTTTCGTCTTGAGACAGGATCTTTGTCTCACTGTGTAGCAAAGGCTGGCCGAATTTGTAATCCTCCTGCCGCAGCCTACTGAGTGCTGGGATTATAGGCATGTGCCACCAAGCCTAGTCTGAGACAGAGTCTGGATGAATTGCTAAATCCCCAAGGCTCAGCTTGAACTGGTGATCCTCCTACCTCAGCCCTCTGTTTTGCTTTCTGTTGAAGGGAATCTGACCCGCCAGTTGTCTCCTGAGTGGAGCCTCACTACTCTGTCTTCTGTGACGCTCAGCAGGAAGTCTCGGCGTCCTTCTCTGTCATAGCCAGGGCCAGGGCTTCCTTCCTTTTGAAGGTTGGCTGAGCACTGTGTCCCACTTCTGGCCTTTGCTGTTTATTTTCCCCATGGTCTTTCTGGCTGTTTGTCTCTCCTGCCCCAGTTTTCTGTAGCCACTTTTGGCTTGTGAAGTTTGCTAGTGACGTGCCTATGTCCGTGTCACGTGGGTCCCAGGGAAGAGTATCATCAGCACACAGTGCTGTGCTCCCTGCGGCTCTGTCCCTGCCGAGGATCCCATGGGACCCTGCACACCCCTGTGCAAGTGCTGGCAGCTCAGCACCAGGCAGGGAGCATTTCCCACGGGCACTGCTGTGACCTGGTTCCGCACTCTCTGGCCTTCACAAGCACTTTTTCCTTTCTTCCTGTGCTGTACCTGAACCCAGGGCTTCACCCTGAGCTGCCTCCCCAGCTCTTTTTGTTCACTTGTTTTTGAGGCAGGTCTTGCCAGCTGCCCAGGCGGGGCACTGAGCTCTGCCTCTCCATGTGATGTGCCACCTGGGCTCCTCAGCTGTTGGCAGCGACTGGTGCAACCTGCAGCTATTGCTCGGCTAGGAGCAGCCTGACTTTGCCCTCCCTGCCAGAGAATAGCTGCCAAATAGGGAGTTTCTGGTTGGGAGTTTTCTCTTCCAGCACTTTGAGCTCATCAGCCTCGGCATCTGTGGCGTACGCTGACAGTCCTGCTACAGCCCCTGGGCGACACTCGCCTTGCCTTGCTGCTTTCCAGTGTTTCTAGTGTGTGTGGATCCGTAAGGAGGATGCTCAGCACAGACAGCTGGTGTACTGATATGTCACCTCTGAGTCCTTTTTATATCCCCTTTCTGTCGTCCCTAGATCTCCTTCCCATAGCAAAAGGTCTATTTTCTTGATCCTGTCTTTTATTTTGCTCTTTAGATTTTTTAATATTTTGAGTTTTCATATAAGAGGAAACCATGTGACATTTAACCTGTATTTATTTTGCTTCACATTACAGTCTTCTTTCTTTCTTTCTTTCTTTTTTTGTTTTTTTGTCTTTTTCCTTTTTATCAGTACCGGGGATTGAACTCACGACCACCTGCTTGCAAGGCAGGTGCTTATGCCACTGAGCTAAATCCCCAGCCCCCACATTACAGTCTTAAGACCCATCAGTTTTCCTACAGGTGACTCAGATTTATCCTGGGTGTCCCCATGTAGCACCTTGTCCTTAGATGTCTAGGTTCCAATGAGGGAGAAGGGAAGGCAGGAAAAGGACCCAGAAGCCCTTTGGAAGGTGTCAGAAGGCCCCATAGCCAGAGAAGGAGAGGTCTCAGTGGCACAGCCTCTGCCCAGCCCTCTGATCCATAGTGACCAGGACAAGGTCCTTGGCCCAGCCTGGTCTCGCAGGTGCCAGGCTCGTTGCTTAGCTGCCTGCCCTGGGTGTCTGGGGGTTGAGGCTGCCGTGTCAAGGGCCGGAGTCACCTGAAATGTCTTGTTTGCCCCCTGGGCCTCCCTGGAGCTCACTTAGGGCAGCAGGCTTAAGGCGCCACACCGGCCATGAGATGGACTCTGCCAATGTGGTTGTGGGGGGCCGGGACTCCAAATTCCAGGGCTGCTTCCTGTGCTATCTACCTAGAACCCCTCCTGCTCCTTCCTCCGTGATGGGCGGGGTCAGGCTGGGGGCCTGCCTCCTGAGGGTCAGAGCTTTGCTCCCTGAGCTGTGTGCTTCTATGGCCATGTAAAAGCCAGCGATGTCTCTGCTCTGTCCTGTGTTACAGTCTCTGCACACCACCGCACCCTAAGGGAGGACTACAGTGACAAGGGGAAGGCCAGCCACTGGAGCCGCAGCCCTGCGCGGCCCCCACGGGAGCGCTTCGAGCTGGGAGACGGCCGCAAGCCAGGTGGGTCCAAAGGTCTTCCCTGGCATTTGAAATTCAGGCAGTTTATGGAATGAAGGAAGAGTCCAACTAGGCAGTCTGTCACAGTTTGTGGTGCCCCCTGCAAGGGGCTGCCCACCTTGGCATGAAGCAAGGCAAGTGGCCTCTACCTGGATGTTTGTTGCTAGACATTTGAGAGTTGCTTTTCCAGTTAAATGTGGGTGGGTAGCTGGACATGGTGGCATACACTTGTCACTCCAGCCTATTATAACTCCAGCACTCAGGAGGCTGAGGCAGGAGGATTGCTGTGAGTTGAAGACCAGCCTGAACTACATAATTACACCTTGTCTCAAAAAAACAAAAAAACAGTGGATGACCTGTCTGTCTTAGAGTAAAGCTTAGTATGTGAAGGATACTTCTGACTTTGGGGTAGTGCTATCTTGCTAAAAAAAAGCATTTTTCTCTGTTCATCCTTCATGGCCTTCTTTCACAAGTGAAAGAAGAAAAAATCGAAGAACGAGACCTGCTGTCTGACCTGCAAGATATCAGTGACAGTGAGAGGAAGACCAGCTCTGCAGAGTCATCCTCAGGTACCCAGCCGGTCCTCGAGGCCCATGGGTGCTGTGCATTGGGGCCAGTGCCCACCCACAGCTGCGCTTCCCCCTGCAGCAGAGTCAGGCTCAGCCTCTGAGGAGGAGGAGGAAGAGGAGGAGGAGGAGGAGGAAGAAGGAAGTACCAGTGAGGAGTCGGAGGAGGAGGAGGAGGAAGAGGAGGAGGAAGAGGAGGAGGAAACTGGGAGCAACTCTGAGGAGGCCTCCGAGCAGTCCGCAGGTGAGTGCTGTCAGGAAAGGCCTCATGATCTGCAGGGTCCTCTTCACTGTAGGCATTGGGGTGCAGGAGACTAAATCTGGGTCCAGCTGTGAATGCTTCTGCCTGAAGCCGCTGTCTCCTTGAGACTCACAGGGGTGCCCAGGCCCCTCGGGGAGCCGCCCCACCCTGAGGGCTGTGGGAGGAGGCGGTGTGGGTGTGTGGGGCCTGGCACCACCTGCTTCCTTTCGCAGAAGAAGTCAGTGATGAGGAAATGAGTGAAGATGATGAGCAAGAGAATGAAAACCACATCGTGGTTGGTGAGTGGCTCCCTGCAACAGTTCCCATGTCCTCCCTGTTGTGGGTGCAGTTGCCTGGCCCAACATGTGGGCCCCCGCAGTTGTGCCATTCCCCCATGTGTCGTTCCCCCAAGCTGTGCAGCCAGGAGCAGAAGTGGTCCTCAGATACCCTGCCACTGGCCGCTTGGCAGTCAGTGCCCACTGGGACCTGATTGCCTGGCCGTAATGGAGTGGCGCACTCCAGGGCTTGCCTGATGAGCATGCAGGGGAGGGTAGGAAAAAGGGTAGGAAAGCCACCTCTGCTTCTGGTCCCCAGGGAAGGGGACTGCACTGGGCGGAGCCAGGGACATCACAGGTGGAGGCGTGGCCTGGCCTCAGCAAGCCATGTTCTCAGGGACTTCAAACATGAATGTCCAGCACGGCCATCCCCAGACCCATCTGTACCTACTGCAGAGGGTGTAAGACCCGTGGCACTGCCTGTTCCCAGTTCCCTAATTGTGTTTCTCTTCAAGTTCCAGAGTCACGATTTGACCGAGACTCCGGGGATAGTGAAGAAGGGGAGGAAGAAGTGGGTGAGGGGACCCCACAGAGCAGCGCCCCAACAGAAGGCGACTACGTACCTGACTCCCCAGTCCTGTCACCTATTGAGCTCAAGCAGGAACTACCCAAGTACCTGCCGGCCTTGCAGGTGCGGCTTCTCCCTGCCAAATCCCTGCTCATGCCTGGCCTTGCTGTGGCACTGCCGCCTGTGTCCCGCTGCTGTGCAGGCAGGCCCGGCCTGCACCTTCTGTGACACTGGCCATGGCAGCCCAGTGAGGCATTCTGGACGCAAAGGTCACACTGTATGGCTTTGGTCTGGCCTTGTGTGGCCTTGGGTGGGGGATGAGTTAGATACCAAGGCCACCTTGCCACCCTGCCCACACTCATGCTGCACACAGTCTGTAGGAAAGGTCATGAGGGCCTATGGAGGACAAGGCAGCCTTGAGCCTGGCCCACTGGGCTGTGGGTGTCCTTGGTAGCCACTCGGAAAGCTGTGATGGGGCCAGGGTCTCCCCCCAGCCTGCTGTGCAAGGTGTAGCGGGTGTGTGGCAGCCATCCTCACACCCACATTTCCTGCCAGGGCTGCCGCAGTGTGGAGGAGTTCCAGTGTCTCAACAGGATCGAGGAAGGGACCTATGGCGTGGTCTACAGAGCAAAGGACAAGAAGACAGGTGAGCAGATCCTGGACCCAGGGTGTGCCGTCCACGTGGTCTATCCCAGGATGGCCATGTCAGTGGTACGATTTTCATGGGAGCCCTGTGGTCCTGCTGCCACCTCTGGCCCAAATATAGGTGGCCTTGACTTCTGGTCAGTGTCTGCCTTCAGCCTGTGGCCAAGCATGTTTGGTGGTGTGGGCCACACTGAGCCTCATACGCACCCCACCCTGCCTTAGTTTCTGCTGCTTGCTGCAGTGGCAAGTGATGGTCCAGTGTGGGGAGACTCGTCCAGGGAAGGGGCAGGCACAGGGTAGGGGTGGCCTAACCAGCTCACAGCTGGGGGCTGCCCCTCCATTTTTTTCTTGCGTGCTGGGACCCAGCAGCAGTCTGCACTGAGCGATTGGAATCCAGGGCTTTTCTTAGCTTGCAAGGGGATGAAAATGAGTGGACAGCTATGAACCCAGTGGGTGTTTCCAGCGCCTGTCGGTAAATGTTTGTCTTGACAGATGAAATTGTGGCTCTGAAGCGGCTGAAGATGGAGAAGGAGAAAGAGGGCTTCCCAATCACTTCTCTGAGAGAGATAAACACCATCCTCAAGGCCCAGCACCCCAACATTGTTACTGTCAGGGTGAGGCCCGCCCCGCTGCAGCTCGGCTGCCTGGGCTGACCTTGCAGGGCTGGCCCTTAGCTTCCCATGCAGCTCACTGGAGCTGCTGTCTTGTGTTTTTCATGACCAAACCGAGGCGTCAGGGTGCCTAGGAGTGCACACAGCAGCATGAGTGGGCCAGGCTTTCTGGGAGCCTGGCTGTTCCCCAACAGGCCTGCTGTCCCTTCCCCAGGAGATCGTCGTGGGCAGCAACATGGACAAGATCTACATCGTGATGAACTATGTGGAGCACGACCTCAAGAGCCTGATGGAGACCATGAAGCAGCCTTTCCTGCCAGGTGCGGACATGCCACTGAGGCCTCAGGTTTTGGGGGACACTGACACCACCCCCACCCAGCAATGCCCCCCACCACCCCCACCCAGCAATGCCCCCAGCTGTGTGGCAATGTGATGGTCTCAGTGACCCTGTGCACAGTGCTCGGAGGCCACCATGGGCTGCAAGTTCCCATAGCAGAGTCCCTGGGTATAATAGCCTGGTGGACTCTGGCCCCACTTAGGGTCTTCCTTGCTCCCTGGAGTGGGGTGAATGTGACCCCTCACTTTTCCAGGGGAGGTGAAGACCCTAATGATCCAGCTACTCCGTGGAGTGAAACACCTACACGACAACTGGATCCTACATCGGGATCTCAAGACCTCCAACCTGTTGCTGAGCCATGCTGGCATCCTCAAGGTGAGCCCAGCACCCACCTGCCCCGGCCCACCCAGGAGCCCCCGGCCCAGCCTGGCTCAAGCACTTTCTTTCTTGCAGGTAGGGGACTTCGGGCTGGCTCGAGAGTATGGCTCACCCCTGAAGGCCTACACCCCTGTCGTGGTGACCTTGTGGTACCGCGCCCCAGAACTACTGCTAGGTGCCAAGGTGAGTTCAGGGGTCCATAGGGTACCACCCCTCCAGTGGGGCTCAATAGGGTGCATCCTGCCCAGCTCAGGCCATGTCCCCGGGGATTTCAGGAATACTCTACCGCTGTGGACATGTGGTCTGTGGGCTGCATCTTTGGGGAGCTGCTAACACAGAAGCCCCTGTTTCCGGGAAAGTCAGAAATCGATCAGATCAACAAAGTGTTTAAGGTGGGTGTGGGCCCCTTCAGGGTGTGGCTGGTAGCAGGACTGGGTTGGGGTCCTGTGTGTGCCCCTGTGTGGCCTGTTCCCTGGTAACAGGCACAGGCATTAGGGTCACCTGTCCAGTGCTAGGCCTTTCGGGCTGGGTCAGTTTAGACACTTCAATTTTTCAGGACCTGGGGACCCCCAGCGAGAAAATCTGGCCAGGGTACAACGAGCTGCCAGCAGTGAAGAAGATGACCTTCAGCGAGTACCCCTACAACAACCTGCGCAAGCGCTTCGGGGCCCTACTCTCCGACCAGGGCTTCGACCTCATGAACAAGTGCGTCTGGCGGGGCAGGGGCAGGGGCGCCCGCCCGGTGGCCTCCCTGACTCGGCACCCACTCCCCTCAGGTTCCTGACCTACTTCCCCGGGAGGAGGATCAACGCCGAGGAAGGGCTCAAGCACGAGTACTTCCGCGAGACCCCGCTCCCCATTGACCCCTCCATGTTTCCCACGTGGCCGGCCAAGAGCGAGCAGCAGCGTGTGAAGCGGGGCACTAGCCCGCGACCCCCGGAGGGTGGCCTGGGCTACAGCCAGCTGGTGAGGCACTCGGGGCGGCGGAGGGGGGAAGGGCAGCCGGGGGGCCGTCCCGCGCCCACTCATGCCGCCCCGCTCGCCCCACAGGGCGACGATGACCTGAAGGAGACCGGCTTCCACCTCACCACCACCAACCAGGGAGCCTCGGCCGCAGGCCCCGGCTTCAGCCTCAAGTTCTGACTCCGCTGACCTCGCCCTTGTTTTGTACCGTTTGTAAATTTGTAGAATTAAATCGCCTTTTTCCCGGGACCAGGCTGTGTGGTCAGACCTCCCTGGCCCTCCCCCTCCGGCCCTCCCCTCCCCGCGCAGGGTCAGGCGCTGCCCAGCTGCCAGCTGTTCCCGGCCTGTGCCTGCGTGCGCGCCCTCTCCCGTCACCCCTGCTCACCCTGTGCGGGGGGTGCTCTGGGCCCTGCATCCCCGACGTCCAGCAAGGCCCCTCCCCCTGCCAGGGCCCGCCTGCCTCCCACTCGCGCAGAAACCAGCCGGGGGTGGGGGCGGTAGTGATTTATCTGCGGCCTCGCCGGCTCAGCTGCGCACGCGCACGCGCCAGGAGTAGGTGGTGAGCACGCGCTGGCGCCGGCGCACCACGCACGTGTAGGTGCCCTCGTTGATGGCGTTGGCGATGATGCTCAGGTGCGCCTTGCCCAGGGCCAGGTAGCCGGGGTAGGAGAACTCCAGGGGCTCCTGGTCCTTGTACCAGCTGCGGGGAGAGGTGGCTGGAGCCTGCCCGGCATTGCGGCGCCACTGCCGCCCCAGTCCCGGCCCCTGCCCGGCCCGCACTCACTACACTTTGCCCTGCTTGTGGCGGATCTTCTGCCCGCAGCGGAAGGTCACGTTCCTGCCCTCCGACACCAGCCTGGTCTTGGTCCTGGGAGGGGGCGCGGTGGCGGCCGCCGTAGGAAAGGGGAACTCTGCCGGGGGTGGGGGAGCCGCATCAGTGCCCGGGCCAGCCCGGGTGCGCACCCGCCCGGCGCCCCCCACCCCCGCCGCGGGCGTCACCGTAGCAGAAGTCGCAGCTGCTGGGGCACAGCCTCTTCATAAGCCTCCGGCGGCTGTCACAAAAGCCCCTGCGGGCCCAGGGCGCGCACGCGAGCAGCCTGTCCAGGCAGCCTGCGGGCGCAGAGGCTCAGGGCCCGCCGGCACACCTCCTCAAACCTGCCCGCCCGCCCCACTGTCCCGGCACCCACCGTAGAGCCGATGCAGCCCCCACATCTCGTCCTGCGACAGCACCTTCCAGCCGCGCAGCGTGGCGTTGAGGTGCATGAGCGCCTGCCCGTGCTGCGAGTGCATCAGGCCGAGCGCGTGGCCGATCTCGTGGGCCGCCACGTGCACCAGGTCTGTGAGCCACACTCCTGCGGGGCCGCGGCGGTCCTGAGCCTGGCGCCGCGCCCCGGCCGCCGAGATAACAGGGTGACTCGGCCCCCAGGAATGCGGTGCGGCGCCTGCCCCGCACCCCCGACACCCAGAGTATCCCGCCGCCGGCCCGAGGGCAACGCCCCACCTTTCTTCCAGCTATAGCGCGTCGGGCCCAGCACCCAGTACTCGCTGTCGTCAAAGTGGATGCCGCCGTGGGGCGGGAAGAAGGCGTGGGCCAGCTCGCCCGTAGGGCCGTCGAAGCAGTGGTGCAGGGCTGAGACCAGGCAATCCGTGTGGTTGGCCGGGTAGAAGCCTGGGGGGGCACGAGCCTGAGGCGCGGCCTGGGCGCCGGGCGGGGGCGGGGGCGCGGCACCCACCTATGCGGAGGTCGCTGGGCTGCTCGGGGGCCACCTCGCGGAAACTGAAGGGCGACACGTCGCTCCACATGCGGAAGGCGGCGGCCAGGCCCCGGCGGGTGTCTCGCTGGTTCAGCAGGTTCCGGGGGAAGGAGAGGATCCTGGGGAGGCGCAGAGTCAGGGGGCGCCGGCGCGCAGGACCCCACCCCGGACCGGCGCGCACCTGTACGTGAGGTTGAAGTGGTCCCAGCGCAGCCTGCTGGGCGTCAGCGTGTAGCGGCGTCTTCGGGGCGAGAGGGGGGACGGCGGGCTGGGTCCCCGGCTGGCGGAGACCCCAGGGGCGTCCCATCCCTGGACGTCGCTCTTCGCGGGAAGAAAGCAGCGTCAGAGCAGCAGGGCCGGCGCCCGAACCCGGGCAGAGGAGCGGCGAGCCGAGCGCCCTGGTTCCTGCCCTCGCCGTCCCTGTCACCCCCGGCGCCGGAGAGCGAGACAGCGGTGCTGAGCCCGCGCCTCTAACCAACCCGACTGCACAGACCCCGCGCCCGCTCACCTGCGAGGCGCCTGCGCCCCCGCCCGGCGCCCCCCGCCACGACAGCACCGCGAGCGCGGGCAGCAGGCACAGCGCGCCTAGTGCAGCCCGGAGCGGGCAGCCCCGGACAGCGACAGCCCGGGACGGCCCCGGGGGGACACAGGCCCCGCGGCGCATGGCGGACACGCTGGGATCAGTTCTTGGCGGCGCGGGACCAGCGGCTCGGGTTACAGCCGCGGGGCGGGGGGGGGGGGGCTGACGGGGACCATCTGGCTGCTGCGGCCCCGGCTTCCGGCCCGGGAGCCTCGGGCTGCGGCACACAAGAGCCTGGCAGGCGGGGTCACTCGCCGTGAGGAGCGAAGGTACACGGGCCTCGACCGGCTCTTAGGGTGTTTGGGGCTGAGTGACCCCGAATGGAAACCCACCCCAGCCTCCAGCACCCAAGTGGAATCCCCGCATCTGGAGCATAGTCTCCATCCTGGCTGTCTGAATGAGCAGCCAAGGACGCGTCCCAGACAGAGGGAGGGGACGAGTGAGGGACGTGGCAGTGAGTGGCGGCGTGGGCGGCGCAGAGGACCAGCGTACAAGGCGAGGGTCCACCGGGGTTGGAACCCCCAGGGTCTGGTTCGGCGCAGGCCCTGTCGATGGCTCTGGGACCACTGGTGAGCAGGGGCCAGGCTCCGGCCGGGGGATCTATCCCGCCTGGCATGGCCGGTCGAGGTGCCAAAGACTGGAGGGCTCTACGGGGTGGCCCCCAGCGCGGGTGGAGACCTGAAGTCCGGGCCAGAGCGGGCGGCGTTGCAGCCCGCCCCGGCCGCGAGCCCACGGTGACAGCGCCAAGCGGCTGGCGCGCAGTGGTTCTTGGAAAGCGCCCGCCCCCTCCCGCGGTTAAGTATTTGCTGCCGCAGCAGAACGGCCCCTCCCACTCGGCGCCTGGCCCCGCCGGGTCAGCACAGGTCGGGACACGGCGGCGGGCCCCAGGCAGCAGGCGACAGGCGGCAGGGTCCGAGAATCTCTTTATAAAACGGGGGCGCGCGGGGCCCTCAGACGAAGATCTGGATGCGGTCACGGATGGGCTGGCGGCAGATGGGGCAAGCGCTGAGCGCCGCACCACAGGGTGCGCACGCGCCGTGGCCGCACTGGAACACGAGGCGGATGTGGCTGTCGATGCAGATAGGGCAGGTGATTCGCTCCTCCATCTGCCGGTAGCGGCTCTGCAGCTCCTCCACTAGCTGCCGCGGAGGGCCAGGCGCGGGCGTGGCACCTGCCACCTCTGAGCCATCTGCAGGATGGGAAGTGGGGGTCAGCGGGGCAGGGCGGGGCGCGCCCCCCACGCCGCCCCTTAACCTGTTGCCCACCTGGGCGCAGCTTCTTGCTGATGGCCACCTGGCACCGGATACACTTCTTCATCCTGCGCGCACACTCTGCAGGAATAGCGGCAAGTTGGCTGCATGCAGGCCAAGTCTCCAGGCCCCCGCACCCCGGGCTTCGCACTCACCTTCGCACACCATGCGGTGCTGGCACGGAGAGAACAGGACAAGCGGCGCCAGCTCGGAGCACACCAGGCACTCAGCGGCCTCGGGCCCCGCGGCGGCCACGTGCAGATTCGTCACGGTGTTCGGGGTGCTGCGCGCTAGCCTGGGGCCCACGGCCAGGCCACCTCCGCCCCCCTGCAGCTCTCTGGAATCAGGAAAGGGCTTGAAAGGGCCCTGAGAAGCCGCCGCGCCCTGCTACCTGGCCCCTCCTACCTGGCCCCGGGCAGGTGCTCACCGGAAGCGCTGCGCACAACCCTGCAGCACCTTGAGCACGCGGGCCTCTGTGGCCAAGTCCAGGGGGCTCCGGCCTCGGTGGTTGGAGTAACTCACATCGGCGCCCTCCAGCGCCAGGAAGCAGGCGATCGCGGCACCCACCGTCAGCTCTGTGCTGCCTGGGAGCCCCAAGGCCTGCAGCTGGGCCGCAGGACAGGAGCCTGTGAGGGGGCGCGGGCAGGCAGAGCAGGGCTCCTGCTTTTGGGAAAAAGCCGCAGGTACCCCGCCTTGCTGTGTGAGGCCGCTGAAAGGGGGGCAGGCTGGAGGCCCCAACAACCATGCTGGTGAGGGTCATGAGGACAACCCTGGAAAACCCATCTCCCTTGCTGCCCCTCCTGGAAAGCCTGGCCACCCTCGGGCATCACCACAGCATGGACAGAGCCTCAGGCCCGCCTCTCCACTCCCACTCCTCACTTCCTCACCCTGGACAGCAGCTGCAAGGGCCCTGGGTCCCCCCCAGCCCTGTCAGCCACCAAGGGCAACAGTTGATGACGCTGCAGTGCCACGTGCAGGGCTGTGTCCCCCTCCTCGTCCTCTGTGTTGACACTACAACCAGCATCCACCAGCAGCGGCACCAGCCCCACGTGGCCTTGCTGCACCGCCAGGTGCAGCGGGGACTGGAGTTTGCGGTTGCGAGCATTGACATCGCAGCGGCCCTGGGGAGGGGGTGCAGGCTCAGCCCAGTCCCCCCACCCTGGCCCAGCTGCCATCCCTGGGGAGGAGGCACCTGCACTGACCTCCTGGATCAGGATCTGGGCCACCTCTTGGTGGTTGTTCAGGGCAGCCAGATGCAGGGCTGTGAAGCCATCCTCTTTCTTGGCATCTACCAGCTGCCGAGCCCGCAGCAGAATCTTCCGGACGGCTCTGTGGGAGCACAGAGGTCTGTGTGGGCCCGGCGCTGCTGCCACTGCGGCCCAGGCTGGCTACCGACAAGGGTGCCTGCCCCAACTCACAGCGTGTGGCCCTTGAGGGATGCGTGATGAAGTAGCGTGAAGCCCTGGCTGTTGGTGGCAGTAATGTTAATGCCTGGCACCTCTGTGAGGACCTCTACGATGCCACTGGCGCCAGGGCCGGCTGAGATGGCTGAGTGCAAGGGCGTGTCTGCATGGGTGTCCTGCATCGGGGAGCCCCTGGTCAGCCCAAGGCACTGTCCGATGTGGTCCATGAAGGGCAGGGCACCCAGGAATCCACACTCACAGGCAGGTTGACGTCACAGCCACACTCACATAGGACCTGCACCACCTCCAGGAAGCCCCTCTGCACTGCCACGTGCAAGGCCGTGCTCCGGGCGCCATTGAGCGCATTGGCCCCACAGCCTGCACTCAGGAGCACTTTGGCAGCCTCAGGCTGGTTCCTGGCAATGGAAGAAAGGACACGGTGCTGCAGGCTGGGCCACAGGCTCAGCCCCTGCCCCCCCTCACCGGGGCTCACCCCAGGGCTGCATAATGCAGTGCAGTATTGCCCTCCTCGTCTGGCAGGTCCATGCCTGCCCGTGCCTGCAGCAGCCGGCGCACCAGCTCCACCTGTCCCAGGTATGTGGCCACCTGCAGGGCGGTCCTGCCCTGGTTCCTGGTGTCCACCTGTCAGGGGAGCCAGTGTGAGTCCAAGGCTCTGTCTGGCACCCCACTGGCCCTGGGGGCAGGCAGGATGGAACATGCCTGCTCTGGGTGCCTCCGCAGCAGTTCCACTGCCCGCGTCACGTTACCCAGCGCGGCCTCCACCACCAGCCGCCCAGGGTGCTCGAGGTCACTCTTCTGGGCCCGCAGCTTGTCCAGGGCCACGCTCAGTGAGCCTGGGGACAAGCAGAGTCAGCGCTGGACAGGACCACCCTGGCCCCTGATGGCCACCCACCAGGGCTGGTGCACACTTTTGTTCTCCCTGGCACGCTCAGCTACATCCAGGTTGGCGTCCTCCTCAGGCCGGTAGGCCACCAGACAAGAGGGGCTGAATGTCCACCACTGGCCATCAACTGCCACTCGCAGGTTGCCGTCACCAAACACCTTCACCACTTTGCCGACCCGGCCCAGGGCCTGTGGGGAGAGGCAGGGTCACGGCAGGTCTGCTAGGGTGGGAGGGTCAGCAGCAGGATAAGGGACTCACAGGAGCCATGTCATCTGTCCACTCGCCGTGCCCAGCCTGCAGCCGTTTCACAGCGTCAAGGTCATCGATGACGCGGACCACATCGCCCACCCAGAAGGAGTTGTGCTAGGTAACAGAGAGAGGTAAGCGGGTCCCCCCACCACAGGTGGCTGCTCAGCAATGTGAAGGGCACCCGAGGAGCCACGCAGGACCAGTACCCCAAGGACCAGTGGAGGGCCTAGACAAGGGGCCCGGGTGACTGACGCAGCCCCGGGTGGTACAGCCCCTCACAGGGGTGGCAGCCAAGGCAGCTGGGCAGCAGAATCTGCATCAGATACAAGTCACCTCTAAGAACAGTCTGGGATGACAGCCAGAACAGGGTGCAGGGGGAGGGGGGCATGGCAGAAAGCAGAGCTGCCACTGTGCTGCCTGACCTGCACTCCCACCCAGAAAGGCCCCAGCTCTGCATCCTGAACACCCCTCCACTGCCTGCCACCCCCAGTCCTGCTTCCCACACCTCCTAGTCCACCCTGGCCTCACAAATCTGCCCTGGCTGCAGCTGCAGGGTGACCTCAGAAAATGCACCCAGCCCCATGTCCCGCCAGCCAGCTGTGCTGCCCACTCCAGCCCCAGCTCTGGCGCCTGCCCCTCCTCCAGGCCCCATCCCACCCTGCAGATCTGCAGCTTCTGGGGCACCAGTGCCCTGCCTGGCCACCCGCCAGCTGAGGAGGCACCCAGAGGAGGCTTGGCCCAGCCCCCTAGGCACCTTGGTGAGCGCCCCAGGGTGGAAGGTCCAGCGGATCTCATGGTTGAACTGCACACGCACGTCCCCACGGTCTGTGATGCGGTGCACGGTGCCGGTCTGTCCGACAAACTGTGGCGGGTCACGGAGGCTATGGCTGGGGCAGGCACAGGGCTCGGGAGGGGAGGGCACGCGGGGCTCGGTGGGCCAGGTGGCTCACCTCCGCCATCCTGGGGTTCCAGCCACCATGGCCTTCTTGCATGTCTCTCAGAACGTCTGTGTCTAGCAGACACTTCACTTTGTCCCCACGCTGGAAGGGCTGGCCGTCCGCACTCACCCTGCGCTGCAGCTCGGCCGGTTTGCCTGCAGAGGGTAGTGGACCAGGCCTCAGCAGGGCCAGGGGCCAGGGCTGGACTGGGGCAGATGGGCAGTGGGGGCTCCGCCTACCAAGCCTTGGGAGGTGCTCCTTGTAGTAGAAGCCGCCAGCTGCCTCACCCACACACTTGAGGTCCACCTTGCCCTTGTGGCCCACACGGTACACGTTGGTGGTTCCGTCTGCCCAGGTCACGCTGGCCACACTCCGACCCGTCTCCACATCCCAACCTCGGATGTCTACCACACGGCCTGGCTTCCCTTCCCCTCCTGGGGAGACAGCGCCCTGTGAGGGGCTATGACAGTACCCTAGGTCCAGATGGATCCCCCGCCGCCCCAGCTACCACTTACCATCCTGGGCGCCCCACTCCCAGTCGGGGCCTCGAACCACCTTCGCTCCCTGGAAGATGCCTCTAAGTGGGGTGCGAGGGAGACCCTGGCGAGGACTCAGCAAAACACTGCAAGAAAGCCAGGCCTGAGCCACAGGAGACAGGCATCTCTCCTTTGTCTCCCAGTCAGCAAGGGCACCAGCAGGCAGCTGAGACCAAGGCACACACTTCCCTCCCCACACAGGGCCCTGGGTGCCATCCAGCCAGCAGAAGGTCCTCTCCTAGCCCCTGCCCAAGGCCGCTCACGGGATGTCTGCTTTGGTGGCCAGCTCTGCCCGTGTAGCCACAGAGCTGCCCCCAGGGCCCATCTGGAGCTCTCCTAGAAGCAGCCCCAGCTTCCAGCTGTGCAGGGGAGACTCTGGCCGTGCTCTGCCCTGGAGACCTGCTTGGGGACGCAGTGGCCTTCCAGGAGTGGCTGTGACCCTGGACCTTCCCAAGAACGTCTCAGAAGGACACCCTTTCCCTCCCTGGGCATGGCAAGGCCCTCAGAGAACAAGGAACTCACGGGCGCGAGTGGGCAGTCTCATAGCG